TCCATACTTTCCCAGTCTGCGTAGGGACCCTGTGGGCGTCTCAGAGATGGCGTTTAGTGGCACATCATCGTAACACTTCTCCTCTCTCGTGTGCAGTGAGTACGCTGCAGTGAACATCACCACCAACCTGTACGTGATCAGCCAGCCGTGGCTCTACTCTCTGGCCTGGTGTAGTGGAGTCCACTCGGTCACCACCAACGCTCCCCAGCTCCTCAGCACCATGAGCTCCCCTCTCTTCCTCATGGTAACACTTTCAGTACTTTACTGTAGAGTATTTCCATTATAAGCAACCAGATGTCATAGTAAAACGCTGACAGGGAACATTTTACTGTGTTGTGTAAATGTAACTGATAATACTTTTTACTTAAACAGATCCCAAAAAAAAAAAATCTTAACATTGGTACAATAACTGCAGCTCAAATGAAAAAGGTCCCATGTTTGAAGCACTTGGGTATCTGGTTAGATGAAAACTTGTCATTCAAAACTGAAGAAATTACTAAGACCACAACACTGTCTTGTTCTTATTTACAAGCTCATCCTTTAATAAGTTTAATAAGATTAGAAATATGGAATACTGCACTCATTGACAGGAGTAAAACCTTCTTATATCCCATTTATACACACAGAATTAGGAAAAGACAACATTTTAAGCTCTTTCTGAACGTTTTATATAAATAATGCACCTGTGTTTTTTTAATGTCTGCTTTGTCCTGTACAAAAATGTTTCAAATATCAAACGTTTTATTCTATAACTAACTTATAAATCTGTGTGTGTCTCTTCAGAGTCCAGATGAGTATAACGTGATGTGGATTCTCACTGATCTGGCGTCCCTCCTGCTGCTCCTCCTCATCTTCACCTTTCACTGGTGAATCACACACGCAGTAAAAAACAAAGCTGTTAGCGGGACGATGTTATCTGTTGTTATCTGTCTTTTACTTTCCACCCGGGCAGGACTTCAGGGAGGAGTCAGATCTAAATACGATGAGATAAAACAGGGCTCACGTGTTGTGTGTTTTTTTGGCAGGTGGCGAGAGCGAGGACTGACTTTCTCCTCGGGAAGCAAAATCATGCTGGACAACGGCACTTATAGCAAGTTTAAGACAGGTAACCTCCAAAGATATCTGCTTTTTTTTTTTTTATTTCCCTTTTCTGGTTAACGCAAACAGTGGTCAGCACTGCAGTGCTATGTTACGATACAGGCATGGACGTTTTAATGTCACCTTTTTATAAAGACGTAAAGAGTACAATTGAACAAATAACAAATATCAATTTACCAACTTTTACACTATAACTTGTACAATATAATAAAAAAGTATTGCACCATAAATATATATATGTGTGTGTAATAATAAAAAGTGTAAGAAAAGTACAAAAGAAGTAAACAGAAATACTTTGCAATAAGCGGCAGCGGTGGTTGCTGATCCGCTCTTGAAGAGCTGTGTCTCCCAGAATGCTTTCTGGGTAAGAGGTTTTTCTTTTTTTGCCTTGGCCAACTCCTTGTGCATGATGCAGGCATTCACAACTGCAATGTCGACTAAGCGGTAAAAAAAAGTCCTGTACCAGTTCCTTGTCTTGTGTTAGGGCCAATTAGGGCATCAGAGAGATCCACTCCCCCCATGTTCTTGTTGTAGTCCTTCACTGCTGCTGGAACAGAGATATTCATGAGTGTCCACTGCCCATCATTTCCCTCCAAAGGCTTTGTGCATGGTAGTACACATGGACACTTCCTGCGTGTCCTTCCATTGCACAAACAGCAGGTCACCATCTCTGATCCAGCGCAGACCTCCTCTGGGAGCGTTTCTGGGCAAGGCGTTCACTGTGGTTCTTGGGAAGCCAATCCTGTTTGTCCGGATAGTGCCACAAGCCTGTATCTTCTTTTGGAGGAGGTCCCTAAAAAGTGTGGGGCTTGTGTAGAAGTTATCCACAAATAACCTTTAGCCTGTGCCCAATAGCTTCTCTTCCAGAAGGATCATGGCTAAGACCCTTGTTGTGCTGGGCAGAGGATTTTCCTTCATACACAAAGTTCCAGGTGTAACCACACAGGGAGTCTGCCAGGACAAACAGTTTGTATCCCCATTTTGTAGGTTTGTCCTTCATGTACTGTTTGATCGCAATTCTGGCCTTTGATGCCACCATTCTCTCATCTACTGAGATGCTCCGTGATGGCTGGAGATTGCTCAAGCAGGCTTCCCTAATGCTGTTGTACAGTGGCTTCATTTGGCACAACCGGTCAAAGGCTGCTGTTCCTCTCTTCTTCTCATTCTCAGCATCCACCTTTGGATCACTGAGATGGAGAGCGTATGTGATGGCCATGAATCTCCTGCATGACATGACCTTGGTGGGAAATTGCAGGCTGTACAGCTCAGACCTCCTCCAGTAGTCTGTAAATGAGTGACATGTGGTAATACCCATATAAATCACAAGTGCCAGGAAAGAGTACATGTCTTGCAATGTGATCAAATGCCTTGGCCTTGCTTTCCCCTCCTGTTTCTTAGTGCCATAGGCATTTGAGTGGGTCACAATCACGAATGCACTATTTCCAGCCATATTCTGACCGCACTCCTGACAGTACACGCAGTGCATTGCGTTACGTCCTTTGTTGTACCTCAGCCAGGGAAATAGTTTCAGCCAGTCCTGTCTGAAGGAATATATTTTGGCCTTTTTAATTTGGGTCTCGGAGCCGGGCTCTATCCCAGACTCGGTTGTCTCCTCCTCTGGTTCCGAGTCTGATGCTGTCGCCGAAGGACCGGGGCTTGGTATCTCACCAGGGACAGAGGGCTCCGTGTCTTGACGGTATGGACTCTCAGTAGTGGGGATGGATGGGATTATAGTAGTAGGGCTGGTTGTAGCCTTGCTTTTCTTAATGAAAAAACTTTCAATATTCCTGCCTCTCTTCATTTTCCCTCGTTTTGTCGCGTTTATTTTATTTTTCCGTTTCAGTTAGTCAGCTATTCTGATGCTTAGGTCGCGCGCAATTTTTAAACGAGAGATGAAGAGATGATCACCCGGGCAGCGTCAGGTGCACCAGTGCGACCTAGAAAAATTATTAGTCCACTCTGGAGCCCTGATTACTGTCATTATGTGACTGAAATCAAACCCATTTTGTTTCTGTCTCTCCCGTTGCAGAGCTGAGTGATATATGGTCGGTGTCCAGTGCGAACTCCCAGGCAGAGAAGACGATCAACCTGGCGACTGTGACCGAGCACTGATCATCTGCCTCTGAGAGGAGCCTCGTACTGCCAACCTGTAAGGTCTCAGAACATTTTATCAAGTGCACTTTGTTTCAGTGAAATAAAGTGACGCAAACATTTCTCACTTTGTCAGTAGCTGTTTTCATCGCACACACATATAAGTTATTTTTACCTCCAAAAGGGAAAAATTTGGAAATACGCTTATTTGCTTTCTTACTTTTTCTGCTCTGACGAGTCAAAGTGCTGTGAAAACGCTCTATAGCACTCATATAGCTGCCCTTTTTAATTTACAGTCAGCAGCCAGTTACCTTAGCTTAGCACAAAGACTTGAAACAGGGGGAAACAGCTAGCCTGGCTCTGTCTAAAGGTGTCTGTTTAATCAGTTTGATCCTGTCTTTTGATGGCTTTATTACCATAAATCTTTAAATTAAAAGCAGGGTCCCAATTAGACACAGGTCTCGTTTACAAGCCTGGTGTGGCTTCATGTTTTAACAAATACAGGCAAGTCTCAATTAGAGGCCCGGTCTGGATTTTATAAAAAATATTTGGATGTATAAAAATCCAGAAAATTCTAAGTTGGTTAGATCTCCTACACAAATATAAATGTTTAATCATTTGGCGATATGGATCTTTAGATCAGTTAAGTTCTCCATAATTCAATCGTTCACGTCATTTTACAGAAACCATCAACAACAAATGATCAAATTTAATGATTCGTAATTGATATAATATACAATAGTTTAAATAAAAAATCTGCTCATACTTCACATTTTTTTGTCCCAAATAAAAGCCTGGGCTTTTAATTGGAAGTTTTACTGTATATAAGGAAAACTGTAATTTAAAACTCTAAATAAAAACAACAGTAAAGAGCCAATAAAAAGACCCCCTAAGAAGTGTATAATGTAACTCTATATAATATCTTCAGACCGTGGTACTGTTACAGCATATTTAATAGGAATAAACGTCTCGGTGCTCTTTGCAAAATGTCATTTATTTCTGTCTACATCAGGATATATGGTCACATCATGGATGAAACAATTTCTCCTTAATATAAACAAAGAATTCTGATTATAACTCAATGCTTAAAAATCAACACTAATGGTTCAAACATTTAGAAAAAAGGAAATAAAATCAGTCACTATCTACAATGTGTGTTTACAGAGACATTGATCTAAAACGGACTACTGTGGATCAAGCACGTACAAACGAGAGAACTTTGTGGCACACACATGGTTTCCTTTCACATGCATGACTAACAGTACAATAAAAAAAAGAAATCATCAGTTAATATTTAAATAAGTTTAAATCCAAATTAAATCAGTTTGCACAACGCTGGAGATCTGAAGGGTCGTAGGTTGGATGATAGGTTAGCTTTGGTCTAAAAACATTTAACAGACTATAATTGATGCTGGTTTTGGTAAAATTATAACAACTGTGAGCATAAATAAGGATGCGTCTGAAAAATGAAACTTACAGGACAAACAAGTTAATAAAAATACTGTTTGGGGTTTTCAGTTATGGGAGTTTATGACAATTTGTAACAACACAGTATGTAATAAACAGCATGAACTTAATACATATCTCTGCAGTTTTAAATCAGTTATTACATATTTATGATTTAAAATGTAATAACCAAACAAACCTTAACTAATAACTTTATTATTTTACAGCCAAACTCAGGGACTTTATGTCAAATGCCAACCTGGAAAAACTCAGCTACTGCCAGGGTTCGAGTTATAATTGGAGGACTAGCATTAGGGCGGATATATATATATATATATATATATAAAGTCTGATGGAATCTTTATGGTTTCATATGAAAGTCGGTGCACTATGTAGCGCTCCACTAATGAGAGGATGTATTGTTTTGTAAATCAAATACAAAGCTAGAAATCAATACAGAATCTGAGAGAGTAGTTAACATTAACGGAAATAACTCTTTACATTGAAAAATGTATTATTTGTCGCATTGGTAATGTATCAGAGACACTGTTTCCCAACCTTTTTCCGTAAGGGACTCCTTTTCTATCATTTGATATATTTTAGGGATGTTTCATTTTATACTTATGTACAATTAACCCAAATAGCAAGAGATTAGTTTTTCTGATATTTTCAGGAACGCTTTATACAATCCTGTCTACTATTATTATTATTATTATTATTATTATTATTATTATTATTATTAATAAAAATAATACATAATAGGCTTCCTATGTTTTCTTCTCCCTTATATCCATTGTTCTAATGCAGGACGAGTAAAGGCTTTGTGAATATAGTTTGTGTTCCCTCTTAAAATCAAGAAGGCCTTGTGACCCCCTAGTGGGGAATCACTGTATTAGAGACCCCCACAGATGTAGCTCCCACATAACTCGAACCCTGAGTACTGCAGTGGTCTCTGTACGGGGCTCCAAGAGGACCATCAAAAAGCTTCAGTTTATTCAAAATGCAGTTAATAAAAAAGTGCAACTCCTACATTTTGTAATTTATCGGAAAATCTAAGAAAATGCGTCATAATGTGAGTGCTATTACATAATGTGCTGTTAAAGATTTAACCCCGAGAGTAAAAGATCCGAGTGTTTGTTTGTAGCCTTGACACCGATACGGGACTTAATAAAACATTGTGTCGTTGAATTCTGTCTCAAAACGTCCGACAATAGTTGGATTGAAAGCCGATTGCACGAAACCTCACTGGTGACGTGCTGCAGAGAACGTGAGCAGCAGTTTACGGTGATTTTAACGCTTTTAGAAATGAATCCAAATTGCAGATGTTCGGGGAGGAAAAAGGTAATTTTAAAGGCAATATGTGAGTTTTAAGACAGGGCCGATAACATAATAACATGAATGGAAACGTTGGCATTACAGTGTCAGTGACAGTTTTATATTCACGCTATGTGTGTGTGTGTGAGCAGGATTAACGTATTGATTGTAATCGATGAGTTTCCAGCCGTCCGCTCACTTGCTGTTGCCCCGGGAGGTTCGCTGTTTGGTCATGGTCGTCAGCATCTGGCTGATGTAAGAGGTCAGGAGGTCGTCCATTTTGTAGCCCTGAAGGATTAGAGGTCAGAGGTCAGACATACCTTAACTGTATTTATATATTTACATGTGTGGCTCTATTGCTTTTTATTGTACATTGCATAACAGATTACATTTTGGATGGTATTCTGTCATATTTCTCAAGTAGAAGTACAGATACAACTTAAAGTACAGGCTCTGAAATGTACTCGAGTAAGAAAGTAAAAAGTACTCTCTTGGTTTCTACCGGCTGTTTCTGTGCAAAGGTGAAACTTCAAACAGAGTCTTGTTTCCCTCTCTTGTCACATCATTATTGTCACATTATGTCTGTTTTGCATGATACGCACCGGTCTTGAGGTTTGGAAGGCGCAATGCAATGATGCAAAATGTTTTTTTAGTACTTATATTTGTATAAAAATGTAGGGGGTAAAAGTAAGAAGAAGGTATCTGTACTTAAGCATCTGGATTATGTGGAAATATTTTTAGTATAATACTTTTGCTTTTTGATTGTCCACCTCAACAGTTAGTGTACGAACATAAAACTGCTGGTCCTCTTCAGTTTTATGTGTCTGAACATCTTTAAAGGGCCGACCTGAGGTTATAAACGTGCAGTGGCAGGAAGGAATATTGGCAGTTTAAGGAACAGGTGCTCCACTTTTTTGAATGATACACTGCAATCTGCCCTACTGCTCTGATTGATCACTTGTCAGTCCGTCCAGGACTTTGCTGACTTCTGATTTCACAGCATAGGTGTTGTACTGAGCCATACGAGTTTGGTGACGTATGGCTCAACTTTTTGTGCAGGAAACTACAACGATTGGTAAAATAAATTGCAAGGTTGTGCAGAATTCACAGGGACTGGTTGAATTTATATTAACTGTTGCAATCGCAACTTCCTGGAGGGACTTACTTGTTGAACTGTCTGCATAGTTTGCTTAAAGATTTTGCATTTAAGTAAATGTCAGACCCCTGAAACCTGCTGAACTCCAATGACTGAGTAAACTGTAAACTTATATTTCATCATAATTTAACTCTTACGCTTTTATTTTGAAAGCTAAATGCTCAAATCCTTTATTTCCTGGTTATTCTGACCGCTGTAGTGCATCAACATAATATTATAAAGTCCAGTGTCTCACCAGTGAGGTTTCACACAGCAGCTTGCTGCCTCGGACCAGGTTTCCGATGGTGATGTGGAAGTACGTGTTGCCGCTGCTCCAGTTGGAGATCTTGGTGAAGGGGTGAGTGGTGAGAATGTCCTGTAGGAAAATATAACACAATGTAGTTGCATGATCGGCCGCAATATTCAACAAAGACACAAGAGAAGTCAGTTCTTCTGGTGCAGATGCGATGCATTCAGGAAATTAACTAAAGAGAGACAAAATAAAAACAGCTTTCATGTCTAATTCCCTCAATTATATGTTGTCGTATTTTAGTATGAAGCTTCCCTTTTTTAATCTGCTTCTGTTTGCCCTGTTACATTATTATTACTGCATCATGCTGCTACACACAAACTCAACACTTCTTATATCCTTTCCAAATTAAAAGCCCATTTCATTGGACAGAACCTTCATTTCCTAACAAGGCTTTTATTGTGAAATATTTGCAGGACCATGTTGTGGAAAGTGACCTGGTGATCTGGGTTACTGTTCTTATTCTATACAAAGTGTTGAAGATAACATGATTATATTGTTGAATTTATTAAAGTAAAAAGAAATGTACATTATGTCTCCAGCCTGTATTTGAGACCCGGCTTTTATATGAGAAAATACTGTAATTGAGACTAGACTTGCGTATAAAATATAATAATAATAATAATAATAATACTTTTGGACGGCAGTAAACTTATATTTGAGATTTTCTGTATTTTTAATTACAAAAACGTGTAATTCAGGGAACAATTTTGTTCCCACATCAATGATTCTGGGAACAAACTCATTAACACAAATATGATAAATGTGAACTCACCTTAGATTTGGGATCAATGAGACTGACTCCATGTTTGTTGATTGCTATCAGGAGGGTTTCTGGGTAATTTGGATCAGTTGTTTGCTGCAGAAAGAAAAACCGAATAATTAAAACAGTGGAAAGTACATTTACTCAAGTATTTGTACTATTAAATGTTCTTGTACTTTTAAAGCTTTTTATTTGCATATTCAGATTATTAACAGAATTTAACCAACTAATAAACTATAATAATACATCTTTAAGCTACAGCAGTATATAGACATTAGTTATTAGCTCCACTTTTAGTGATTTACACATTAATGCATCAATTATAATCCAGTAATATCTTAATATTCTGAAATTTACGTCTGTAATTAGTACTTTTAATACCTTGATTAATGCTAATACTCTTGTTGTATTTACTTCAGTAAGAAAAATCTGAGTATTTTCTACACTGCAGTATTGATTGACGGACTTCTTCCAGCTACAGTAACAACAACATAATGACATTCAGCTTTTAGAAACTGAGTCTTTACCTTGACTTCAAAAAAGGCCGAACCAAACGTGGGCCACTTGTAAATGATTTTGAGGAAGGAGAGTTTGGCTTCTTCTCGAGTCTTTCCCGAGTGTTTGTTGAACAGCGACATGATGGACTAAGAGGGAGACAAACGACAAACCAAAAAACATTTAGTAAAGATATAGTAAGATATTATTGTATATAAGTTTTCTTGAATTGACTTCCTGACAACCTCACTCATAACGATGACTGTTTTTGTGGTCGGGTAAAAACAAACAGTCTCAAAATAACCACAAACCACAAAAACTAACAAGAATCGGTGTTAGAAACCCGAAGGCAGCGTGACTCCGGTCTCCTGAGACTTTCAAAGCCACTTTATTCCAGACTGAAATATCTCAACAGGAACTGAATAGATTGTCATTAAATTGGGTAAAAAACATTTATGTTCCTCTCAGCGTGAATTCTAATATCATTGATGATTTCTTGTATTTTCATGTAGCGCCACCAGCAGGTCAACATTTTGATGTGTCCATTATTTTGGTTTATGACTCAATATCAGCAAAAACTAATGACATTCCCATCAGTCTCGGCTGCACTTGGTTTTTATTGCAAAATGGCTTGTGTTGCTAAGCTAAGAGGATGAACATGGTAAACATTATGCCTTCTTAACATCAGCACGTAAGCATTTAGCTCAAATCCCAGCCTCACAAGGTCACCAGCACGACTGTAGACTCTTGTTTAAGCAACAGTGCCAAACATTTGCCGATTCTAGCTTCTTAAATGTGAGGATTTCTTTATCTTATATTACTTATTTTGTTTGTTTTCTGTGTGTATCTACTCTTTGTTGGACTATTTACCTATAAAACCCTGATTTTACTCTACTAGTTTTTGCTGCTGTAATACGTGAGCTCACCCTCTTCCAGTCGTCGGGGGACAGATGTCTGATCTGGTCCTGAGGGACGAGCTCCTTCAGGACCTTGGTAATGTTGTGGAAGTGGGATTTGTCGTCCTCAAACTTCACCCTGTAGATCAGCGCCGCCAACTGGTGCACCTCGTCCCTCGGACACTTGTGGTAGCCTCGCAGGTACTTTGGCAGCTCCTGCAGAGAGAAAGCGGTCGCTGTTAAGAAAGCTGCGCGTCATTTCTGAACTTACACAGGTCCTTAAAGATCCATTAAAATAAGGCAATGCCCAAATATTGAACGCATATTATCCACATGTACGTATCTAATTTTGGACACCCAGCTCAGAAAAAGGGTTTCCTGTTAAGAAGGTGTCAATATAAGAAATGTAGTCCATTTAATAAGTAACATAAATACACATAGCTTATCAAGCTACATCCATGAAAAACTCACAGAAACTCTCAAACTCTAAACGTACTCGACTGTCCTGGAAAAGAAAAAGTTAGCAGCTCCCACCAACCGCTACGACAACTTCTGTGTCAACGGAAAATGACACCAGATTTGGCGTTCGCTACTGGTTAGCATACTTTAAAGGCCAGTTAATGTCTTAGTTATTATGAATCCAATGAAGTCGAGACTGATTCTCAAAGTAATTTAGCATTGAGGAGAAAATAACAGCATATAACAGTTAAAGTCACAACATAGACACATTTGTTAAGAGGTTTTAAATAAATTAAGATTTTAAGACTTTGTATGGAAAGTAAATATCCTCAAGTACTGTACTTAAGTACAAATTCAAGGTACTTTTGGACTTCCAGATCTCAGTATAAATACAGCTTTAGTTATTTTTCAGGTTACATTATTTCTCCAATTGTGTTCAGTGTTTTCATGTTTGCGATAAACTAAAGGATTAAGTGTTCTCCTTCTTCTTAAGCTAAATAAACTATTTAAAGAAAAACAGCTGAAAAATGCATCACCAAGCAGCTGAAAACAGAGACACAAACATACGATTATCTTATAGAATATGATTCATTTCTGTAATGAAACTACCCAACACTTTATAAAGTAGTTAAAATGAGCAGTAAAAACATTATTTATAAACAGTAAAACACTGACGGGATAATGAATGTTAACAGAAACCACTCACTTGGTAGTAGTGGAAGATGGAGTCGGCCATGGTGTCTTTTCCTGGCACGGTGTTAGTCCACAGCTTCTTCATGAAGAACACCTGATACGTCAGTGAAGGCACTACACCTACACAGAGGTTAGGGTTAATCAGTGAGAAGATATAAAACATATCAGCTTTAAAAGAAAAGCTTATTTTTTAATCTTACCGTCTTTCACATGTCTGGCTTTCTTTATCCAGTCGGTCAGGTGCCTCACAAAGTCGAAGAAGAAGTCGCCATCGGGCACACTGATGACCTGGAAAAAACAAAAAAAGTCACACACTTAAACATCTTCAAATGCTTTAAATGAAATGTGTTTATAAGATGTGTCTCAAAAACATAAAAACAATCAGTTTTCTTTACTTGATGACTAAATAAAATCTATTTATCTTGTTTAAAACCTCAGCTACACAAAGACAGAGCTGCTGTGGTTTGTATCATTTGTTATCGATGTGAAGATAAACTTCTACAATAACTACAGTAGATGTTAGATCAGGGTGCAGAAACCTTGTCGGTGATCTTCACAAACAGACTAAAGCCTTCGGAGGATTTGAGCAGAAGACGTCCGGAGATGTTGTGGCAGAAGTCTTTGGCCTTTGTGCTCGACTCCACTTCGAACACCTGAGAACACAAACAGGTCGAACGGCTGCTGAATATATGAAATACTGCACATGTAAAGTACCAGAATATGTGAGAAAGATATGTTTTATTTGATGATTTCTTGTAAACTGAAGAATTTCCAGCTATTTTCTGAACTTGGAGGCTCATAAAAAAATACTCTGAACCTGTTGGATGTCTCAATAAAAGTTGTGTTAATGTGAGATCATTTAACTTTTGCTGAACTTTGGTCAAACCAGAAGTAGTAAGGTTGTATCTTCTGGACACCTTAGTGTATTAAATTAAATAAGGCTGTATTTAATTGCTAATAAATGTTATTTTACACAGTTTGACTTTAAATAATAACTTCTAAAACAGTAAGAATAGCACGAGAAGACAAGAGTCATGAAGTCAACCAACTAAAGTTAGCTAATAATATTAAACACTTAAGTGTATTAAATTGAGCAAGAGTGCATTTTATATTGCTAATAAAGGAAAACTAGTAGTTTTATTCTTTTAAATGTTTACATAGCCTGAATTTAAACAGTAAGAGGAGTCATAAAGACTCAGTAATGACAGTTACAACCAAGTTAACCACCATAAACTACTGGTCTACAACAAGGATGCTATTATAGATTATATAAATATATATTTGGATTCTTAGTCGTCACCGACCTCGTCCGAGTCGTCGGGGAAGTAAACTTTGTGGAAGATCTGAGTTGTCTTGTGCTGGATGGCCTCTACCTCCACCAGGTGAGGAGGATACTTCCTGGATCCATTTCTACAACAAATAACAGAGAGAGGAGATTAAATAAAAGTAAACTGAACTCTGATCAGAGGAAAGAGTGTGTGTGTGTGTGTGTTACCGTAAGGCTTTCTGTAGCCGCTGCATGCAGTCTGGAGCCAGCGGATAGTGTTTCTTGGCCTGGAGGAACTTCTGGACGTGAGGCAGCAGGATGTTACTGGGAGGAAACAAACCAGTGCAGAGCCACAGCAGCTCCCAGCCCTTCTCCTCACTGTACCTACACACACACACACAAAGGAGGGAAATGTTAAAGTTACAGCAGTGGCTCCCAACCTGGGGGTCGGGAGGTTGTCGCAGTTTTAAAGTGTCAGAAAACGTATCTCATCTTTTCATTCACTTCTGTGAAGAAAAGTAAATTGATTCATTGAACAAAGTCAGAGGCAAGAAAACACTGAATTTGTCAAAAAAATAAGCCTTTTAAATAGTGCTGTCAGTTTAACGCGTTGTTAACGGCGTTAACGCAAACCCATTTTAACGGCGTCAATTAAACACCAACAATAGTAACGTTAGAAAAACTACAACACCACACCAGATCTAGCTAGACCGGAAACAAAACCACAGGCACGCCGCACACACTTGTTTAAGAGTAGTAGACGTTACGTTTTGAGTGGATGGAGAGCACGAGACGCCGAAATGGAAAGAAGTAGTAGGCTTACCTTTTATTGGTTCATTCTTTCTGAAATAAGAGGCTGGGTTGAGCCTCTGGTGAATAAAGAGCAGTAGCAAACTTGAGAGAGGTATTAAGCCATGGTTTAACTGCACTATAGGCTGAGTCCTAATTTACCTTACATGTGCAATTTGTAATTTTATTTTGGATCGCCCTGTTTTGATCCCTTAGAAAGGGCTGTTGAAGGGGCTGTTTGTGTGACAAAGTATTTTTTTCACCCTTTTATTGATGGACAGTGTTACATTGTGTGAGAGATTATTTGCTCCAAGTGAGAATGTTAGTGTGAAATTGAACACTACAGTATATGCCGATGTTGTTTTCAATAAAAACAACATTTGCACAAAGCAAGCCGATCCACTTTTCCATGTTGATAAGAGCATTAAAATGAGAAAAAATAACGGGACAAAAAGAAATCAATCAATTAATTGCGAGTTAACTATGACATTAATGTGATTAATTGCTATTAAATATTTTAATCGTTTGACAGCACTACTTTTAAATCTTTATGATTGCTAAAAATGAGACAAAAATACATAATAAAGTCAGAAAATTAGTTAAAAGGTTCCCTAAATAGGAAAAAAGTCATCCAAATGACCAGTTTTACACAAACTTATTTGCAGTTACTGAGTTCACTGTTTAGAATCATTGTACAGTTTTTAATATAATATATGTCACTTTGTTTACTAAATGATATAAAAGGGGTCCCTATTGAGGACTGTGTTACAGCCTCAGACTTGGTGACAATAGTTTGTCTTTCTTCAACTCGACAATGTCAGCGTACACAAAGCAATAATATATATTTTTAGCCACTTGGGGGCAGCAGAGACATTTTAAGTGGATACAATGAGCTTTCTTCCACATTAGGAGTCGTGTTTCTGTCCAATATTCACTCTCTTTAATCTGTTTTTGGTCTCTGCCAACCCAAGAGGGGAATATCTGACTCTAGCTGCTAAAGGCACATCAGGGTTCCCACTCTGTTTAAGAAATCGCTTTCCAAGGAGGTTTTTTTTCTTGACTTATAAACAGTCGAGTTTCAAACAACATACGCAACCAGGTTTAGGTAATCTCAGTGAGAGGCTAAAATACAATAAAAAAAAGTTCCAGGATATTTGGCCATTTTAATCCATTTCCAGGTTATCCAGGATACTTGGGAACCCTGCACATGTTTTCTATTTCAAAATAAAATCCATTTAAGAAAAACTAAACTTTCTCCACCATGTTGTCGACAATCTTGAAGCGTGTGTGTGTGTGTGTGTGTGTGTGTGTGTGTGTGTGTGTGTCTGTGTTTCAGTCATACTTGATGTGATTATCAGTGATCTGTTTGAGAATCAGACAGAAGATCTCGTCTTTGAGCGGCTCGGCCTTCAGCGCTCCTTCGAAGATCTGATCTGTGAGCTCGTTGACCGAACGCACCCGTTTGGACGGGTAGTCGCCCATATACTTCATCACGGGTACAGCCGGGGTCAAGGAACGCCAACCACTAACACATCAACAGAGAGGTGGGCAGCTACAGGAAATATTTTACTACGAATAAAACATATTTTATAGTAAAAAGTGAAATATGGAAGCAAAATAAAATACTCAGGTATAGTACAGCTACCTAAAATGTGTACTTAAAGGTTATATATACACATAATTCACTCACTGACTGACATTTAACAGACATATTGTACACAACCACACACGCCCTCCACTAAAGGATATCCAAGAAGGCCAGGCAGGCCTCCTGGGAGAGCTCCTCATGGGCCAGGACCTTCTTCAGCAGCGGCTGTTTAAGGGGCTCCCTGGTGCAGCTCCACAGACGCTCCTTCCCCCGGGACTTAGAGATCATCACCCTGCTCAGAGTGCTCTTAGGAGGAGGCCTGGAAAACACACGGGAGGAGGAGGAGGAGGAGAAAGAGGAGGTTGTAAATGAGGAAACACACATGCTGGAGATTAACAATACACTTTATATATCAGTAAAGGATTAACAGACCGGAAGTAGTCGTAGGAGAACTCCTCCAGCGTGTAGGCTTTAGTTTTATCCTCTGTGTCAGAAAGGGCAATTTGGGACAAACTGATGGACTCTCGCCTCTGATCGGGAGTCATAGTCACCAGAGCCTGAGAGGGAGAAAGAGTGAAGAAACAATGTTATAAAACTACAATCAAAGACAGAAATCTCCTTAAAAATATCATTATACAGATATTTAGAAATGTATTGAAGGACATTAAACGAGGCATTTGAGGAAACACACTTTCTCACCGAGAGTGAGATTATAAGATTGAATTTATATCAAAGTATGAAGCTGGAGTCAGGAGGTTGTTAGCCTAACTTAACATAAATGGTGGAAGCAGGGGGAAACAGCTAGCACCTACCAGCACCTCTAAAGCTCATTAATTAATGAAAATGATGATGCTGCTTGTTATTCTGATTTAAAATGTAAAAGATTGAAAAGACTAAAACACAATGATTCTTATATTCAGGTGATTAAACACTAATGAAAACACATTATATTCAATAGATCCTCCTAAATGTTACACACTGGACCTTTAAAAAGGTATAATAAGTTACATTTCTGCATTAAAATGTCTAAATGTTATATATTTTGTTGAGTTTTGTACTTTTATTATCCCAAATATTTCCAACAATGTTCAAACTCAGAGAAATTTGAAATTTTATTCAGGTAACGGTACATTTCTTACATCCCTCTAGTTCCTATAACTTTGAAAGTTGGCAAACGTGACTAAACATAATGTTAATAAGACTTTAATTTAACTCGTCTGTGAACCTGATTTCTGTCTGACTCACATCAGATTTTATGATACGATGTAAAACCACGAGGGATTTACTTATTTAATGTGTTTTGGACGGCTGAAGTGTGACAGGAGAGGCAGATATCTGGTTTATAGCAGTTAGATTGTTAAATTAATCCGGTAATATCCCATTAATGTTGATGTTTCGGCGCTGTATGTGGCTCTAAGCTCACAACCAATATGAAAAAGTGTTAAATACCAGGAGTTAGTCTGCCCCGCTCACTCACCACTAAGTCGTACTGCGGTCGGGTGATGGTGGGCAGCACGTAGACGCAGTCGGCGGGGAAGTCGCCCCTCTGTTTGGTCCTGTCGTTGACGCCGTGAGCCCAGCCAGAGTTCATCACGTGCTCGCCATCGTGCTCGTCCAGGATGATCAGATCGCCCTTGGAGAAGCTGAGGAAGGTGGAGTCTGCCCCCGCTGCGAGTCGAAGATTAAATATATGATATATTTTAAAAAGAGAAGAACAGGAGAGTTTACCAAAGCTTTCTTTTTTTTTTTTTTGGAACCACAGTTTCTTACCAGGATTGGGACAGTCCAGAAGTCCCACCGCATACTTGGACTTCTTCCTCAGACCCTCGAGGAAGGCGACCACCAGATCGCGGATGTCCTCTGCGTTGTTGGAGGTGAACGTGTACTCGTCTCCTTTGATGGTGGCCAAAGTAAAACTCTGGCCCTGGAGTTTCCCCCTCTGGAAGATCAAAGTTTAATTAAACCAGTTCAAGTGCTTCAGTTTTGCCCGTCAGTATACTTTTGTATCTTACACCTGGCACAAATATCATCATGTCAACAGCCATCAACAGTGTGTTCCTGCTGGTTAAAGGGCACATTATTCAGATAATATGATGCACTTTTACACAGCGTGCAAATACAGAGAGTTGTGATTTGGGGGTTGTATTTTTTTTTTATCTTTGCAAGGTATCAAACGTGGAGCAGCAGGGGGAAGGCGGAGAAATGCAGGTCATGGATGTATTATGAGATATCAGACAAAGATTTTGAAATGGGTCCATAATGAAGATTTTAGAGACTTTGTGAGGTTTTAGAAGTATTTTTCTTCTTTTACTTTTCTATATTATCACATCTAGAACATAATCTACTGAAATGTCCATCGTAATACAGCGATTAATATGTCTGACTGTATCTGGGACGAAACATCAGTCCTGATGTCCTGTTTGCTTCTTTATTAAATACCTGTAGCATCAAACAGCAGCAGAAACCGTGAGTCCGTCTTTAAACTGAGAAACATTCACACATTCTGGCACAGCAGCGGTAGCTTCATTAACTCCATTAATTAAGGAGGGATAATATCAGTAAATTCGAGTAAAACACAGACGTGGGTGGAAATTTCTGATTCACCTGGTGATACTCGTCCTGTGCACATTGGGCATTCTGGTGTTACCGTACCTGCTACTGGACACAGCCGTGATCTCTGGGAACGAGAGCTCCAGAAGGACCTGCTCCTGTTCGTCCACAAAGTAAACCCCGGTCCAGTTCACCGCCACGATCACGTCATTCTTGGGCAGACTAGGTCCTGTGCACAGACAAGAGTCGTATCCATGAAAACACCTACAGCAGTAAGACGTTGTTTAATGTGTACAGAATGTTTTCTGCTCTCGTGCTTCCAACCTGAGAATTTGAAGGCCTCGTAGAAGCGCGAGAAGAGCAAAGGCCACTTTAAACGAGCAAAATCCACCACGTCCTCCTTCACCTTCTGTGTGTTCAGCCTCCTTTTAGTGTGCAATCCCTGCAAAGGGTCAGTTATAAGTTAAGTTACTGTCGCACAGAAAGCAGCAGCAGACGAAGAAGCGTCGGCTGTGGCGACAACTGCACCTTTTTATGGGCGCTGACGATGAGCTGAACCCATTTCTCCGCAGTCTTCGTTGAGGTGATTTCTCTGTCGGGGATGTAGGACGGGATGAGGCTGAGCAGGCGATCTTGGAGGATCTCGCAGCCGTAATCCACGTAGTACTGCTGAGAGGCCAGCTCCGCCAGGTCCTCCTCCTTCAGGACAGACAGACAGACAAAGGACATGAGTAAACACAACCAACGTCTCTTCTTTACAGACCGTTGGAGAGCATTTCATAACAAAAGTGGACAAAATGAACCAATTATTCTGGGTTTAATCTGTTACAGTAATTCAATTACTGACTTATTGTACAAAATATGGACATGACCTCATTATTTTTATTATTTAATTATGATTTTCCAAAAACTGTAACAAGTATATGATCTAATATGTGCACCACTGGAATAAAATACAATTATAGCATTAATATCAAACACATGGAAAATAAAGGCAAAAAAAAACCAAGACAGCAACAGTAGAGACATAACATGTTTGAACGGAAATTAAATTAATTTAAATAAATTGTATAGGCTTGAAAAAGGAAGGTGTAACATATAATAAATAGTATTAAACTGTCTCCTTTTACTCCTCCACTATAAGCCCAAATATAAACTTATATTTTGCATTATTATAATATTTTATTAGGATTATATCAGTGGCACAAAATAGCCTTAAAATTACAATATATATAATTTTCCACAAGTATTTCTGGGACAATATATCGTCCAACAAATGGCCAAGTTCCAGTTCCTCTTTATTTGGATTTACAGTTTTATACAACAGGTCAATTAAAACAGTCTTTAACAGTCATTAATTTACTAATTAAAACAAAGCTGTAAAGTACGGCTGCTGCACAGTTTCAGTAACAAGAGTCTATATATTTTATAATTGTGGCTCGTTGACAATAATTCTCACTGATTTTAACGTTTGTCCTCTTAAACCAGATCACCCTCGTGTCATAATGTGGATGTTTTCTTTAATCCAACAGCAACAAATATCAGATTTTATGGGGATAACAGGAGTTAAACTATGAATAAAGAAGCACCTCAACCTTCTAATTTACGCTGGTGTCGGTGACCTCGTAGCTCCCACTCGAAGACAAACACAGACTTCTTTATTCAGAGAGGATTTAACTGAATTAAAGCCAACAGCATCCTATTGGGTAATGGCATCATTCAGTAATCAGGCCATCATCTGTGTCACCTGTTGTTGTTTCCCTGTAGAGAAACTGTTGCTTTCAAGGTACTGAAACATCACATGGGGCAGAGTGGAGAGCAACACTTGAGGTGTTTTTCTTACAAAGTTTTAATTTTTATTATTTAGATTTGATAGAATATGTTTGGAAACGATGCTGGAGTTTGTTTTATTGTTTGTTCTTTTGGCTGATTTGTGTTCATTTAACCACAAAATGGCTCCGTGATGTGTAAAGTAAAGACAGTAACAATACAGATGATTACTTATTGATACAAATACCCGATAGGAAGAATTGTGTGATGTTTGAAAGTGTTTTTTAAGTTTTGTTTGGCCTCTGATGAAGGTGAAATAATTGTTTTTTCTATTTATTTGATGTTATTCATTGTCTTGACGTTCTCTGTGCGTATATGTCCTTTGGCCTTATTCTCATTTTTCATGGTTTTAGTGCTTTTTGTAAAGCATTTTCTCAGTTCAGAAATGTGCCTGATAAATAAAGTTTATTATTATTAAATCTATGAAAAGAACAAAGTCTGTGTGCAGTCCTCTTCCTTCAAAAACTTAAATGACTGAAAATAAAAGAACAAAAATATGTTTTTGTAGTTTCAAACCTTTTTAGGAAGCCTTCAGTTTCTGTGTTCACCTTTTATTGGGAACTTTGTTTGGAGGCTTTATTGATCTCTAACTCGAGAGTGTGACTTACACACCAATGCCTTAATCTTTAGTCTTAATCTGCAGCTGGCTCTTAATGTGTGTCACTGAACGAGGGGGAGCACAATCAATAAACTACAAAACAAAGCCGCTCACCCTCTCGCAGCGGTACTCTCCGAATTTCACCCCTCGGACGATCTGCTGGTAGATGAGGTTCGTGGCGACGTAGTCCTCGGCGGGGTTGTGCCAGGGGTTGAAGATCTCCTTCCTGAAGAACAACCTCCAGGGGGCGTTCCTCTCCTGGGCGCCCTGCTCCTTCGCGTACTGCTCGCACTGGGAGACGGCGTCCATGACGTGGTCGCTCCCGCTGCCCAGCGACGACACCTGAGCGAAAACAGAGACGCAGACGTTACGTAACCTCTTGTAGGTTGAGGAGGAGAAACAATGTCAGCAGCAACATTTAGTTAGTTTCAGTCAGGAAGTGAAGAACATCTGTTTTTAGAGACTTTTTTTTTAATGAGACTTTTTTGACTGGGGTGAAGTTTGTGTCTCAACTTTCCAGTTATTCCCAATTTATGGAATTCCAACACTGTTTAAGGACCCAAGTGTGCAGAAATATTAAAATAAACTAGGCGAAAATAACACATGCACATGGTTTTTGACCCTAAACTGCATGTGATTAGTATAAAGTGGGCATGTCTGCAAAGGGGAGACTTGTTGGTGCCCATGAAACTCATTTTAATTCAGATATCTTGAGGTCGGAGGTCAATGGTCAATGTAATATCAGTTTCATGATACCAGCAAATATATGAAAGAAGATCGCCTAGAATTATTTATTATATCATATCTTTTTCAGACCGTCTCAACTATTTAACAATAATTTCTGTAATATTTAATTGGTACTCGGTATCTGCAAGTACCCCAGAAAAAGAGGTGCAGCCCTAAGCTTCCAGTACAACCTCTGTGTGCGTCGTAGTAAACGTATCTTCACCTTGTCGAACAGGGCGATGTACAGCGAGAAGCCGAAGCGATCTCTCAGGTTGATCTTGTCCGCTAGAGCGTTGCAGAGCTCACTGGCGGTGGTGGCCGAGTCCGCCAGGAGAGTCTTGGTGGTGCCGTCCATGAATGTTACCGGAAGCATGATCGGCTTCTTAGATTTAGTGGCCTGAAAAAGATTCAGAGACAAACAGAGAAATGAAACCTCTTAATATTACAGTTTTCAGTTCATCCAGGCAAGAAGACGCATGACATTTTCCTTTTTTATGTTTGTTTTCGCCCTGATAAAGACTTGCAAAGCTATTTTAAAGACAGATATTAAAGCCTTTTTAAATCACTACCTTCTAATATAAACTAGTGGACGCCAGAGGGACACCTTTATTCACACCTGAGCAGCCCAGACTTTCTACAGGTCCAGTAGTTAAATTTAAGATTTTTCAAGATGTTTAAATATCTCACAGAATTAAATTTAGTATCTGTTTCAGTACCTAACAATAATTTCTGAAGTATTTAATAAACCTAATGAGAAATAAGCAGCAGCAAATGCATGAATGGATCCAACTGATTACAAATAATTAAAGTTTTTTTTGCTAAAATCCACAAAAATCCTCCACTTAAATACTTTTAGTTTGTAGGATAATGTCTCCTGACAAAAAGTGACATTTTATAACACTTGAAGGAACCGAATCCACCGCTGCTTTTAATGTTCAGTACCTGTAATTCCAACCAAGACGGCGGCTGGGTTCTTGTGCGGTTGACAAATGTCCTCCTCAACCTTTCCTCGCAATATGGAGCATAACCAGGGGGACCGTTGATTAGAAATGTCCTTAAATACTGACAACAGAGGGAAACAGGAGGAAGGGTAAATACATAAAATAAATCATTAAAGTTCATCAAAGCTTTGATCAGAGGGTTTTCTTACTTTGACGAACTTCTCCGAGGGGGCGAAGCAGCCGACGCAGAGCGACAGCAGGATCCACCCGCGGGCGTGGCTGCTCTTGGACGGATTCTGAGTGAGCTGTTTGCAGATCTGACAGTAGATTTCATCCCTGAGACGGAAAAAAAAACAACAGCTGAACAAAACCAGATCAAAACACAGAAGAAAAATGATATTTTGGTGATAAAACTGGGTTTTATTTTTAAGTTTTACAAGGCTACAGGGTAGAAACCGATGCTGACTCAAGTGACGTCACAACTGACAGCCATATTACTGTGATTTACTGGGGGAAAATTGGCAATTTGTTTAAAGGTAAAGATCTTATCAATAGCAAATATAAAAATCTAACAGGTAAATTGTTATTGTATTTAGTCCACACATTCATGCTCCACAGATTATTATACTTTCTTCTAGTTCCCGCCTCAAGTCCTTTTCTTTAGCTCCATCCTCAGGAAATCTTTAAAGAGTTTATAACTGACTGAACCCAGAGCGCTCTAGATAAACTAGACTGGACTTTGTGTTGACATTAAAGGAAGTTCAGGAACTAAAACTGCACTTTGTAGGTCACCTGAGAGCGGGCCGTAAGATGCCGTTGCCGATGATGAAGTGAAGTTTCTCCAGGTTGGAGGTGGGTCGGTCCTCCAGCATGCTGTTGCCCTGGAGCCCGTAGTCAACCTCTGTCAACCGCCTGGTGACCTGCAACACACATCAACCAGGTGTCATCCACATCTGTAACTTTATTTTGTAAACTGGATTAATTTTAAACCGGTTGTTAACCAGCAATCTTTGCAGTAATACTTTCTGATGGTTCAGGAACTACAGGGTTGCAGGGTTGAACCCCAAAAATTAAATATTAGGACGAGAGGTTCTGATATTGGGGCTAAAAAGGTTCAGAAGTGGTTAATTATTGTGATGTTTATTAAGCTTAATATCAAAAAGTTCCCAAATAGTTTAAAAAAGAGCAATATAAAGACAGAGAGGTGACGACGGGAGGACTGTGATCTGACTCCACACAAGTACAAACAATATTCATGATGCCCAAATGTTGTTAAAAGGTGGCAGCGGTGCAAAGTGGGAGGTTTGATTTAAGGCGTCCCTGGTTTAGGAAGTATAAACCACATTAATTTCCCCCATAGACAACGTTAGGTGACTCGCAGCTGAAGCACTTCTACGGCTTGGCCTGGAGACGCTTGTGGTTAAATCATCAGTGCGTTAGAAAATATGTGGTTCTTTAATAAAAAGGTATAAACCAGTTTGAAACTCGTAGCCTGACAGGAAAAGACGAGATATGGGGAGATGGTGATAACGTCAAAAGAAGGTTTGAGTCTCACCTCCTCAGTGATCTTTGATTTCCTCTTCAGGGTGAGAGACACAAGTTTATGTCTGACGCTGTTCCTCTTCTGGCTTTCTATGGAGCTGTTCTGTAGACACAAACACGGAGCAACAATGACGTTAATTGGTTTGTTAATTAACAGATCTGAGCAACGATCTGACCCCTTCAGCATCGTCTCACCTCTCCCTCCACCTGCAGTTCCTGCAGCTCCCTCTTGTAGGTCCTCTTGCCGAGGGTTTCGTAGATCTTGGTCATGACCGGGATCTTCTCGCTGCCGTCGTTGATGACCAGCTGGCATTTTGGCTCCGGGAGGTCTCCCATGAACCTCAACACTGTGATCCACACGGCTAACGCAGCCTGGAGGACGAGACAGGACGTTTAAATTAGTCAGTTACAACATGTTTTCTTAGCTTAAGGTTCAATAAGATTCAAGCATTTTTCCTTATTATTTTTATTCATTTATAATTTTTTATTGCCACTGAATAAACAGATTGTAACATAACTTAAAAAATCTAATCCAGAATTCCTCGGTTGCCTGTGGATTGATTAATATATGTTTCTATGTAGGGTAAAATTCAAAGGATGTGACAATAATGCCCGCTCTCCGCAATATAAATGGAGTCCGCTAACATCTACAAACGACCGGCACCCACCACAACACAGAGTCCAAAGTTTGTCTCACCAGCTGGTCTCCTTCGTCCTCATGAAACAGCAGAGGTTGTTTTAGAGGTCGTCTGATGTACGTGTGAGTGGAAACGCCCTGGAAGTAAGTGGCTGCAAACTTAGAGAACTTGTACTCGGACAAATCCTCATCTTCCTCGTCAGGTAACGGCGGAGCTTCGTTCATCACCTCCTCTTCGGCTTCCTCGCCGTGAGGAGTGTTCTCCAAGTCCTGAGCGGCGGGGAAAAAAATAACACACAGATACAAGAAATACATCAAATTAATGAATCTAGCAGCTAAAGACAGTTGATGGAGACATCCACACAGTGATGATATGTCAGGGATATGTGTCTGTCAGGTTGTTGTGGAGCTCGTCTGCCCCCAAGTGGCCAAAAAAAGGACTAAAGGTAGCATTTTTAGACGTTGGATGCTTCACAAAAGGCAACATCCACGTTTAACCACGCAAACACCTCTGGTTGCAGCTGCTTCTCGGGAAGGAAACCGAACCAACGTGGCGGCTCGCGTGGAAACTTTTCTCTCATGTTACGAAATTAAAATGCATTAAACTGGCTTTAGCCTCGTTAGCAGCTCTGTACTGCTGTGCTTTGAGCTAAATGGTAATGTTTTTCCCTTTGTGCAGCACTTTGTAACATTGTTAAGAAAAGTGCCAAATAAATATAGCTTATTATTATTATTATTAAAGTTAAAGGATCACGAAAAATCATACAATTTATAATGTATCCATCCAATATTTAATAAACATTTAACTAAAAAATACAAACTCATGCTGCCTCACCCCTAAAAACATTCTGCTAACGTGGCTTAAAATTAAATTACATTTTTACAAGAACAAACACATACTTCAAACCCAGCTGGTGCTCGTCCGTCCTGGTTGGGCAACGGCCCCGAGTTCCCCAGGAAACCAAACATGCGGTCGACCATATCCGAGTGATCCACGGGCTGCTCCTTCTCCCTCTCCATCTGCTCCAGTAGCTCCTTCTTCCTCCTCGCCTCCTCCTTCTCCTCCCTCTCCCTCTCCTCCTGCTGCTGGGCCAGTTGGATGAGCCTCTCCTGGTGTTTCCTCTCGGCCTCCACCTTGGCCCGCCGAGCCGTCATCTGGTTTCGCAGCTGCTCCTCCTCGGCCAGGCGCTGGCGCTCGGCTTCCTGGCGATGCTGCAGCTGTGAGGGGAGGTGAGGGAGGAAAACAGAGGGTGGGAAAAGGGTTCACAAGAGGCAGGTAGGGTGTGATACTGGTTAGCATTTTATTTTTTTATCCCAGCTTTTGACTGGTTAAACAAACTAGAGCAGAGGAACTGAAGGGAAACAGATTTTTCTTATTGTAATTCTAAGAAATGCACAACAAAGAATATAAACTATTCTTTAAAAGCTGCGCACAAAATACAAAACTTTGTATCGCTATTCAGTGTTTTAAAGGGGGCTTCCAGTTAATGCTACAGCAGAATAAATCTAAACTTCTACACGCTAACATGACAAGCAACCAATGTAACAGCAGCTCTGGTCCGGACTCGAGCTGCTCGGCCCCCACAAAGAGCTCACCCACTTAACTTCCTCCTTGTCGGGGTCACTGGAGCCGCGGCATTGCTCAGGATATATTATTTCATAGCTCTACAAGAAGCTGTTTATACCAAGTTGATGACAAACTGAGATTAAACAAACATTCACCAAAACAAATAATTTATTCAACATCTTTCAGGACAAAGAAGAGAGAAAGAAATGTGCAACAGAAGCAGATAAAAAAAATAAATAAAGCATGCTTAAAAGCTCACAAACATTTCAAATATTTCACAAACAAACATCCAAACCAGGTTTATAGTAAAATGTATAAAAGAAGGTTTTATGGTGACATATTTTAGGCTAAGATCACAGGTCTCTTTTTATAAAATTGTTACTGATATCAGTTCGTTATACACAGTGGTTGATCGGCCACGTGTGCGTTTTTTCTAGTGAGTTCAACAAGGTCATAAATCACATCTTATTTATATGGATTAAAACACAATCCACCAGACCATGACCCATCGGCACTAAGCAGCACATTGCATTAGCAGGAAGTCTGACACAGAAATGGCATTGAGAATCAGTGAGATTTTCAGAATAAAATACCCCGTACCGACTCTGAATTTATCATCGTGGCACCAGGCTAGAAATCAGTCACTCAGAGGCAGGTCAGAACGGGATCTGACACCACTGGACGAATGTATCGACCATCGCTGGTTGTTTATTTTAGCAGATTTTTGGGCCAGTTTTTGCTCATTTAATGGTCCCTGACGACAGGGAATACAGTTAGACGGTGATTCACAGAGGCTCCAACCAAGAGCTGGACCGGAGAAGAGAGGCCTGAGGCGGGTAGAGACAGAATATTTTCAGGTCTAACTCTGTTTGAGTTGAGAGTTTCTGTCGAGTTTGAATGAACTATGTTTTAAGATCACTTAACTTAAGGTCTTAGTCTGTTATAAGAGAGAAACTTCACATACTAAGAAGGTGTACAGTTGTAGTTTTAGATTCAATGTGGAAAAACTGGTGTTTTTCTTTTCCTTTCTCAACATTTTGTGTGTTTATTGTGTTTATTAAAGCTATTAGAGCGTGTTGTACACAGTAAACTCGCTGCAACTACTGGATATATATGACTAAATCGCCAATCGGTGATTGTTGGACGGATGTTTGTTGGAAAATGTTAACGCATCGCCCAACCCTACCAGGGACGACAAGAAGTACGTGTTGGAAGAGGAGAAACACGCCGCTTTGTATCCCTTTTAAGGATAAAACACACAAGTCAACAGCATCGGGCAGGCAAGACGCTCTGAAATGCTCTCGGTGGGAGTCATAAAGCCGCGCCTGGTGGGATTTCGGTGTAATCAGAGATCTTTTTTTACCATTGGAGAGAGCCAGGCTAGCTGTTGTGCTCCTGTTTCAAGTCTAAGCTAAACATCCGTAGCTTCATACAGATATGAGAGCGGCATTGAACTTCTCTCAGCAGAAAAACAAAATGTCAAACTATTGTTTTTAAGGTTTAAAACAGTAGTGATGAGGATATTCCACAAAACCTCCTACAGTATCGAATCACGGCATTCAATGAACAGATATAATAAGGCTTTACAGTTTCTTTTAGCCCACTCAGATACGTGACACAGTCTCTTTCCCTTACTGCCATTAACACCAATGGCCATGTCTCTCTGGCACGTCAGCAACACGACAAATGTAGCAGTAGTAAATATAATGACTGTTTACCTCTGCCCTGAGCCTCTGGCAGAGGCGTCTGGCTATCATGCCCCTGGTGTAGGCCTGAAGGGTCAACACAGCACGGAGACGGCGCCAAAATGTCTGCCGGATTAGGAAGCCGCGGCAACGGGCTTGCATGAGAGTAACGCGGAGGCGAGTCGTCCGGTAGCTTCTGTAGTGCTTCCTCGACCTGTAGACAGCCTGCAGGCGCAAGAAGCCAGACTGCATCTGCAGGAGAGAGAAAGAGAAAGTGTTTTTAAAGGTGATATTAGATTATTAATTCTACTTGTGGTGCTCATATTAACATCACAAAGGGAATTTAATGGGTAAAACATGCATATTTAAATGAAAAACGATGCATTAAAAGGTGTAAAAAGGACTCACAATTTGGTAATTCTTCCTGCATCGATAACCTCTCCAGGCCTTCTGGATAACAATCACAGCACTCTTCAGTCTGAGGAAGTTAGTCCTACAAAGAGGAGACAGAAAGGAGCAAACTCACAAACTCAAAACAGCCCCTGACGTCCTGAAAGCGATCATTATTAAATTATATTTAACGTGTAGAATTCTTTACCTCTCTTTAAGTCCACGCACAGCCTTCTGGATGAGGATGACCTTGTCAGTAATGGCCTTGTCCCTCTCGATCTCCAGCTGCATGTCGTGGTGATCCTGGTGGGAAACAAGCAGCCAATAAAAGAGGTAAAGAGGAGGATATATATATATATATATATATATATATATATATATATCAATTTGATTACTTACAAATGTGATTAGTAACATGCACCACTAAAGCACAATATGAACAGAAATGGGTCCTAACTTGTTTAGCACCTTCCAGAAGTTCTACAAGACACTCTAAGGACACTTTAATTTTCCATATTGTTGGATTTCCCTTAATCAATATTCATTAAAATACAGACAACCATCTGATTGGAACAATCTTCTTCCATCACTACAGTCAATATCTACATTATGTTTATTCAAAAAACATCTAAAAAAGGCCTTTAATTAGCGAAGATAACGTGTTAATCTGGTAACATTTCTATCAATATTGTATTTCAGTTGCTTGAATGTTTTTATTACACAATCCTCTGTTTTCCTCTTTTTAAAGTATGAATATATTTAAAAAGGGGAAGTATCTTCAGAAGCCTTTTTTGGCTAAATAAATAAACTAAACTAAACTAAACTAAACTAAACTAAAGGTCTTAAGGTGGCTCTCTGACCTTAAGGCACTGTGTTCAAATCTTTTAAAGATCCCCTCTAGACAGATTACAACATGTACAAATAATCTGTTCCTTAAAAAGTCACAGTCTACTTCCTTCTACCTCATTAAAAATCATCATACAGAATCTATAATTATGCAGATTTTGTTCATGTCCCCATACTTCACTGTAAAGTCCAGTCTCAGTGTTTGTGCACTACCAGCTTCAAGTTTCTACATGACACTTGGATAAGCTGCACACTGATGTTCACAACCTGTTTTTAAAGCTTTACATCTCCAGTAATAATGACTGAAATTGGGACTGGGAGCCACAGCAGAAGGACGGAAGCTGTTTTAAGTTTTAAGAGACAGACTAACACTCTGGTATTTGTTCTTTTCATTGGATCTGATGACAGAAATATAGAATAACGTCTTTTAACTGTCAATAAATAGCACCAAAAATGAATTTGGATCAGACCAAAGTATGTGAACTCTTGGATACACGTTTCCATTTCCTTTGGCCTTCCTGTGGCTCAGTACAAAGAGCACCGACAGGGATTCAGAGCCAGGAGGCTGCAGTAACACCTAAAACAACTCAAAACCTCCAGGACTCAGCAGGCTAACTTTTACACACACAAAGAAAAAAAAACAACCTTTAGGAAAATCTTGGTCTTTCCGATCTGCCAGTCGTCGTATTTCCCCAACCGGGCCAGGACTATCTGCCGGCAGGTCCCTCGTAGGTCTTCCTGGAAGGAGAGAGAGAGAGAGAGAGAAGTGACGACTCCTGGACCAGTAATGGCTGTTATACAGACACTCATCACAAACAGCATGGTGTATGAGAAATGTCGCAATCAGCTGATTTATCAAAACAAACATGTTTTCAACACATTAGAGGTGAATGATGCTTCGTGGCTGATATCTGAAGGCAGACACTAGTTAAATTAATCTGTAAATAAATAATAATCTGTTGTGCCATTTTCCATTCCCTGGTTTAAAACAAGGAATATCTTATTTTAAGAGCAAAAGTAAATGTTATTTTGGCATTTTAAAGCTGCTAAAGCATCACCACAGACATGTTTAAACACAAGTATAATTACTGTAAAGTTGCTCATCAGGCATATAAACATAAAGCTGCCAGAGAATACGTTCAATTTAATTCAATTCAATTCAGTTTTCTCGTTAGTAATCATAGCAACATTGGTGTGAGACCGAGCCTACGTTTTCTATTTGTTTCCTTAAGTTAGAGTTAGGAGTTAGTTATTGTAGCTTAGCATAAAGACTGGAAGCAGGTAGAAACAGTTAGCCTGGCTCTATCATACAGAACAGAATAGAACAGAAATAGAAAAACAACTATTTGTTGTTTCAGCAACACAAATAAACTTCTACTCAACTTAAACTAATTGAGGCATCAGCAGAAATCTGAGTGAGCTAAGTAGAAATAATGTGTTTGTGTAGTTTGGGTGAACTGACCCTTTAATCTAGTTACTTTAAACAGGTTTAATCGGGACTGAAGAAGATAACAGAGCTGTAACAGATGGCAGTGGTTGTGTGTTTGACCTGTATGTGAGCAGGTTTGATGCCAGGCATGAGGACTCGGTAACGCTCCACAAACTCGGCAAACGTGTATCTGATGGGATAACCGGCCCGCCTGATCCTGATGGTCTCCATCATGCCGGAGTATCGCAGCTGACGGACACACAGCGCTCTGTCGAATAACTGAGAAACAGATGTGCAACATTAAAAGCAGAGGTTAGGAAGGTACAGCAGGCAACTTTTTCCAGGGACAATAAAATCACAAGTAGTTTGATTCAGACAATTCAGAAATGCACTCAGAGGATCCACCATGTAGCTCCTGGTCGGTAATAACAAACATTTTAGGGACGGAAGATCACTTTAAACCTGACATACAAACAGGGTAAAAGTATTTAGTGAAGAATACGCAGACACACATAACACTTTGTCTCACCAGAGGTTTCTTGAGCTCGTTGGGTTTTATACAGCGAACGAAGAACGGCTGACACACACTGAGCGTCCTCATCAGCATCTCCAGGGAACGTTTGAACTGACTGCTCAGAGTCGGAGAGCGCTTCCTCGTCTCGACGCCCTGCAAACAAATAATGGAAACGTGTCCAGAACCAGATACCAGATACAGTGATTGAGTCAGAGGATGACTAGTTATAATTCCATCATGCTAACAATAATTTGTTTCCTTCCTCATCTTACAAAACACTGAAACTACATCTTAAGTCTCAACAGTTTAACACTTTCTTTTTTGTTTTCACCCACAAATTATTTTATCTTGTTGCTTCAATTAAAATGTTAAATGTATTATTTGTTGCCAGTTGTAGTCGTAACACAAAACCTGTATAAAAAAGTCCTCTCCACTGTCCAGACATAAAAACAAGGCAACATCTTCATATTTAGTTTTTTAAAAAGTATTAAGACAGGACAGGTTACACATCAATCAGCAATAGTGACATTAACAGAAATTGTCCGTTATTGGAATTAAAAGTAATGCTAAATCATACCAGCCCGGTCTCAAACAACCAAAGTAACTAAAACCAGATGAAAGCTACTTAGTTTGTGGCTTTTCCTGGTTAGGATGTGTTTGAAAAAGGATTTTAAAAGACACCTCGAGACAAAACACATCTCTTTAGTCAGCAAAGGACTGATCACTTAGAGTTTAGTGAAAAACAGAATCAATCACTGATCACATCAATACTGAAGCTCAGAGTCAATATGAGCACAAAGAGGAGCCATTTATTTTCGCAGATTATCTCATGTAGTGTCAGGATGTAGTGAAAGTCTCAGCAAATATGACAAAAAAGTTATTTTTATACACGTTACTGCAGCTTTAAAGGTCCAGTGTGTAACATTTAGGAGGATCTGTTGGCAGAAATTGAATATAATGCCCCTAAGTGTGTTTTTATAGTGTATAATCACCTGAATATGAGAATTGTTATGTTTTTCTGACCTTAGAATGAGACGTTTTTTATGTACATGGCACCCTACAGGAGCCCAGAATGGACAAACCAAACTCTGGCTGTAGATTTTGTGTTTTTTTGCAAGTTTTCACGGCCTCTGTCGTTAAATACAAACGTGAGCGGTGTTCAGTTAGTTGCATATCCGAAACGTCACCGCTAGATGCTAAATCCTACACACTGGTCCTATAAAGTGGTGAAACACACACACACACACACACACACACACACACACACACACACACACACACACACACACACACACACACGATGATTACTACTGCACACATACAAACAAACAAAACAAAATCTCTGACAGCTCACTGTAATCCTCTCAGTGAATCCAAACAGAAAACCTGACAGGACTAAAAAAAGCCCCTCTGTCCTCTGAACGTTACGGAAACCACACAAGGTTTTTTTTTTTGCCTTCACATAACGAGATGGACGAGGACTGAGCGTCAGAGAGTTTGCAGGTTAATTCGTCATTAACTTGCTAAAATCTTATCAAATAAAACACACTTCTCTCTGGTTTCTGCTACAACAAACTGCACACCTGTAGGATAAAAAGAAGAGCTTAAGGAAAGGAGGAAAGGGGGATTGCTGCTATCTGCAGGTACACTGAGGATATTCTGGATTCGTGGTTTAGTAGTTTAAGAGCACACACACACACACACACACACGTGTTGCTAAAAGCCGTTGATTACCTTGGGAGTGGGGGTGCTGGGCTGCTGATAGCCACACAGAAACTGATGTCAGCGGGAAAAAGACAGAGGAAACAGAGAAGAGACAGCAGAGTGAGAGGAAGGGGGTCTGCCGTTAGTAAAAGCCGAGACACCGCGAGGACAAAAGCTAAAAGGGAGGCAAAAGTCACCGGTGACATTATCACGTGAAGACACCTTAAAAAAAAAAAAAGTCATAATGGAGGCAAAAAATATTAGTCCACCATTACAGATATTAATGCAAGGAATAAAAAGATAATCTAAAAAAAAAAAAGGTATTTACAGGATTTGTTGCTCTCACCATGGCGACGTCAGCCTGGAAGATCTGCTTGATGAACTTGTTCTTGGACGAGTGGACGAGCTGGATGATGTCGGTGTGGAGGCTGTCGCGGTTTTTCTCCAGGAACCCTGAAAAGGGGGGAGGAAGATAGAAGAGACACAAACGAAAACAGGAGCCGTTAACAGGAAGTCATTACGGGGCGGACACGTGGAATCCTACAGCTCTGACAGGGTTCCCGCTCTCTTTAAGAAATCAATTTCCAGTAGTTTTTCTTGACGATACAGGACAATGAGGGGCTAAAATTAGAGATGCATGATAAATTATCGGCTGATATTTCTAATAATTTATGTTGTTGTTGTTGTTAACAATAGTAAAGTTAGTTATATTTGGTTAGAACAGAGCGATTAAATATAAATCAGGTGTGTAACTTATTTTAAAAAATATAAAAACATGAAATTATCAGTTATCTTATTGGTATCTGCTGTGAGAAGCAGGTAATTATCTGTTATTGGATGAAATGAAATCCATATTGTGCATCCTTGGCTACAATACAATAAAAATAGATAATTTCCAGGATATTTGGTCTTTATAATCAATTTCCAGATGTTTCCAGGTCTGGAAAACTAGTCTCTAAATTTCTAGAATAACAATTTAATTTAGTTTTCTTCACAGAAATTAACAAATTGCTGAGATATTTCGGCTTACTGTTTTTATTTTTAATGTTTCTTACAGCCTTAAAAAACCAAGAAGGCCTCACGACCCTCCTGTGAAGCTTTGTCGACCCCTAGTGGGCATCCCACTGGGAACAACTGGTCTAAGAGACAGATCAATGGATGTGAATGAAGAAACTCAACTACTTTTTTCCCCACAGAAAGCAGGAATCAATATGGAATCAACAAAGAATCGGACTAGTAACCAGTATCGACGATGACAGCGGTGTGTTCTGGTCGAACCATATTTTGGATTCGGGGCTGTTCTCTCACATTTAATCAGACCTTTATTTTACCAGGATCCTCCAGAGAAGAACGAGAGAAGAAGGCACATAAAATAAAACATGAAAACATGGACGAGACTAATGAAACATAAACAAACCTCTGGTCTCGTAATGCACCACGCCGGCAAAGTGTTGGATACCAAACTGGGTTTCGTAGCTGTTTTTAGGACGGATGTAGTTGGAGTTGAGCTTGTGCTGTGAGTTGAGCTTATACAGCATCGTAGCATCAGTTCCCTGACAAAAAGACAAAGAAACAATTAGAGAGAAATACTGGTACATCTGTTGACTTCTTATAGTGAATTATAGCTACTTTAAACGATCCTCTAAGTGGCCGAACACACTCCCTTTGTATTGTACCTTAGGGAACTTGCTCTCTTCATCAATGAGGGAGATGATGTTCATGGGTTTGTTGGCGATCATGTCCAGGGCGTCCTGGTTGTCGGTGAACTCGATGTGCTGCCAGCTGATGTCCTCCAGGTTGTACTCCTCCTGCTCCAGTTTGAAGACGTGGCGAACGAAGAACTGCTGCAGGTTCTCGTTGGCGAAGTTGATGCAAAGCTGTTCGAAACTATCGAGAGAGAGAAATCAAGAAGAATGACGAAGTAAGTAACACTTAAATAAGATGTTTCTATGTGAGATAAATGGACAAATAATGACGGTTTCTACTCAAACGAACTGTAAATCACCTGTTGACGATGAAGTTTTCGAAACCGAAGATGTCCAGCAACCCGATCGACCTGCGAACGAGGTTGCTCTCGCAGGAAGGCGGTCTGAATATGGCCGCGTTGATCTTATCCACAATCCAGACAAACAGCCGCCCGTAGATCCCCTAGAAGAGGAAACTCAGTAAGACGCTGGTTATATGGACGCCAGCAAATATCTCATCAACTGTCTATATTCATGTTCCCCAGAGGATGAATCCTAATGACTTTTGGTGAATCTCTGACTTTTCCTCTACCGCCACCATGAGGACTATTTTATTGAACTATCTCAACAACTATTGAATGGATTGATGCCTTGATCTTTCTTCTAAAGGCATCATCTGCTCAAAAATGTAATTTCGACCCATTCTCAATCGCCAGCATACGAGCATGTTGAACTATCACGGTGAAAATTGATTTATTGTCAATAATTATACACTTAAAATAAAACATAAATCTCAACTTTAAAACTAAGAATAACAATCTGAGCCTGTCAGTAGCAAAAACAAGCACTTTTAGTGGACGTTGTTTGACATTTTGGCCCGTTTTGCAAATGTTTTCTCATCTAACTCGATGGATTAAGAGTTTATTTCGACCAAACGAGCTTTAGTGATTGTTGGACGGACTAACAAAGATGATTTTGGTGAGTTTTATTTTGTTTCTGTCCAGTTAACTGTGTTTTATGATTAGCTGCAAGGTAAAATTAGTGTTTTTTTTCAATGGAGTCTGGTGAGCCATAAGTCCATTGCTTCAGTCTGAGATGGTGACTGGTGCTTGTGTGCATCATCTAATGGCTAAATAATTTTATATATATATACCCTTTAAGCAAAAATGCCATAGCTGGTTCCATATTTTGATTGTCTTTCTGTATTTGTTGTGTCACCTTTACGAAGGCATCCCTGACGTCCAGACCTTGTTCCACACTGAGAGGCGTGGCGACACTTTCACCCCGTGTGATCAGGGTTCGTGTGGTCAAACACACCATCACGTCCTTGGGCTCCACCTGCAGTGCACAACAAGTAATGTTAGAAAAATAAGGACACATTAATATGAGTGTAGAGACCGACCGATATGAGTTTGAGACTGATTTTAGATAGAGATTCACCTGATTACAGAACATGAACATTGACCGATTCTGCACTGATATGATTATACAGAAGGCTGCTTTCTTAAACAAATAACTAAGTTATTATATTTTAGTTAAATATTACACATAAATAACATGTCAAATCATTTAACATATAGTCTACACTGTCAACCAATTCTGGAAATGAACACTGAGACAATAAATGATAATTAAATTGCTAAATAAACATCAAAACTTTAAAAAGTTATAAACCTTTTTGCATTTTAAACAAAAGTTTAATACTAGATGACGTATACACTGATATCGATATGTCTGCAATCGCAAAATCGCCAAAAAAAAAAAAAAAAAAGGAAAAAAAAACCCCAATTTCTAATTTATTTTTTAATTTAAAAAATTTTTTTTATTTTTATTGAAAATTTTAAATTTTGGGGGGTTTTCCTTAATTAATAAAAAAAAAAAAAAACCCCAAAAAAAAAAAAAAAAAAAAAAAAAAAAAAAAAAAAAAAAAAAAAAAAAAAAAATTCTATTTATTTGGCTGAAGGAGGAGTTGTATCTATCTTCATGGTCACAATGTAGTTCTGTTTCAAATATATGATCCTGATGTGGTAAATTAATGGTGTTATCTTAGATCAATTGTCATAGAACAACGTATACAGTGCGGGATAAATGCACATTATACATAATTTGTGAATATTAAGAGCCACATTAAAGAGGATTTTTTACTGACTCCAATTTAAAGCAGATTCACGATGTGCTTCTATTTTCTAACACTGAACTGAACGCAGACGTAAAACTGGATTTTAAGCAGGCGATTCTGATATATTTGCTATAATTTGGTTGACACACCTCCATGAGTGAAGCAGCAGTGACCAGGTCAGGAGATCTCACAACCACACAGGCGTCCAGGTTGTCATACGTACGAGCTGTAAGGGGAAAACAAAAAAAAAAGACTATATATACATCTCTTAAGACTATATCATAGACACAATACAAAAACAACCCGCTCGTGTGCAGTTTATCGTACCCTCGAAGCGCAGGTTGCCCATGTGCAGGATGGCAGCCAGCAGCTTGGAGATCTCCCAGCTCTCTGTCTCCGTGAACATAAGGACCTTCATGGCTGACAGGATGCTGGAGTAATCCCTCAGATCGTCACGACCGTCGCACGCCGTGCAGTTACCCTGCAAGGTTAAAGACGCAGAGATAAGATAGTGGAGGGGCTCTAGTGAGAGGAAGTATGCATTATCCCGTTTAAATCAATCTAAATTAAAAACTATAATAGCTAAAGCGTTTGTTCTTTTTGCAGCAGAAAGCTAAGGTTTCTCTGGGTGATGCGAGGTGCTGCAGCTGATTGGTGTGGATGGAGAAGAGTGCAGTAGCTATAAAATCACAGTAAGAATTAGCTAACATCTCGAAAAACATTGAAGAACTGAAATATTTTGTGCATGTTTTTACATTTAGAAATCTTTTGAATCATTATGTTTAAGAGGGCCGGTGATGTCGTGGGGGAGGAGCTGGACACCGTGACGACCGTGGCAGAGAGGAGGATGCTGTCCAGGCTTCAGTCTATCTTGGACAATGTCTCACACCCTCTAATCCCCCTGGGATTATTAAAGTATTTCTGATTCTGAGTCTGTTTCTTGTTTTTATTTAATAGAATTTGATGAAAAAACAGGTCAAATTTTTGTATTTTTTCCATTATTTTGGTTTATTGACTTATATAACCTTTAAGCTGAGGTTGTACAGATTTTAGGGATTTGAATCATTTCAAGATAATCAAAGAAATTACGTCACAGTAAGCAAAAATATCAACGTAGTTGCTGGCGGACCATTTCTGTTGCAGAGTTCAAAGAGTTAACCTCACGTACGTTACGTTTGTCAATTACTGTATTTAGTCTTCATCTTTTAGGATATGAACTAAATATCTTTGGATTTTGAACTGTTAGTCAGTTTGGCATTTGGGAAATCCTGATTAATTTTTTACAACTATTTTCCTTAATTTTATGGAACAGTTTAAGTATAATATGTAACATTTAAATTATTAATTAAATAAATTAAAATGTCTAAAAACAACTGGACCCACTGTATGTTATTTATTTTGTTATGTTGTGTTATTACAATATCCCAAATAATTCAAACAATGTTCAAAGAAATCTGTAATTTTATTCAGGTAACAGTGCGTTTCAGTTGTGCTCCTGTCAATGGCGTCATATCTTCTTTACTCGTTCTAGTTGCAATAACTATGAAACACTTCCAATGGCAAGAAAATATATATATTTTTTAATTTATTTATACTTGAAGTAAGTTTGTTCAAGTTAAACTTTTTGGAGAATTCATCTAATTCTGAATTTTCTTCAAAAATAAGTGTTTTTATAAGAAAGAAACAAGCAAGTATCATCAGCAAACAGTAACACAAACGTAAGATGAAGATGCACATTAACTGTGAAATGTGGTTGAAAATGCTGGAAAAAAACTAGTATTTATTAAGAAAATACAATGTTTAGGACAGATAATGTCCACGAGTATATATATTAATTTCAATAAAGAGGAAAGAAAAAGGTTTTTATTGGATAAAGTGAAGAAAAAAGTATGTTTGTTAATATAACATAACACACTGGAGTTAGATGTTTAATGGATCCAGATCTCAGTTGTAATAAAAGCTCAATAATCAGTCAATATATGAACGGTCTGTCACACAGCCAGAGACTCACCATGGTGAGGTAGGAGTAGTCTGTGGCGAGGCCAAGACCCAGCTTGGCCTTCATCTCTGGGGCCATCCCCTTCAGCATACAGTAAAACACATGGTAGTTCCTTTCATCTGAAGCCTGGAGGAAATAATAACATCCATTTGTTAACACAAGAATTATCTGCATGTGTTACTGTTAATATTCACTCTATATTGTTATTGTATGTTGTATTATTAAAGTCTATATCGAGTATATAGAGTTAATGTACTTACAACTATAACTCTTCTGTAGGGGATGCTGTATAAACATATTAAATATGTTTCTAAAACTAATTATGTGTGTATCAAAGTCTGATATATCTTCTTCACTGCACTGGTTCCTTCATTATGATCAACAAGTTAACCAGTTATTTATCCTGAGTCAGTCTCTCATACGCTGTCCTGCTGTCATTAATACACACTAGTCAACCAAATGTGTCCAAATCCGCTGCTGCAAATAGTCCCAAACAAATGCACCATTTACTCCAAAAACTACATTGATAAGCTACTAAAAAAGGTGTTACTAAAAAATAAAACTATGCATTTGTGACCTGTTTCTAAAGATTTCATCAGACAGGATACAAAAGTACCGACTGCCACTCTGTTAATTATACTCTTTTTAATATAGTCCTTTAAACTTTCATCCACTTTACAACAAGCTACAAGACACCAGTCTGATTAAATGATGAATTAAACTATAATCTACAACAGTACATTTAATATCAGATTCTTTCACTGTTGAATGGATCAGAGTTGTTTAAGCTCTGATCCGGTGCCTCACCTGTCGACACACACGAGACTTCTCCAGCAGGTACTGCTCTATCTTGGCTCCTTCGATGGCCCCTCGCTTGTTGAAGTGGATGTCGATATACTTCCCAAAGCGACTGGAGTTGTCGTTGCGGATGGTCTTGGCGTTGCCAAAGGCTGAATGAGTACAGTGAGGTGATGGGAAGCATTGAGTAAACTCACAACCCCCTAACTAAGTGAGTTTATAGATAAGAGTTTCATATATTATATTCAATGTATAATAACAGAACAGAACAGCTGATAAAATGTACATTTAACCCAAATATTAAACACAATAACTGCAGGACGTTTGTGTAAAACAAGAGATTTGGATGAATTTTAAGCAGATTATTTCCCGTGAATATTGATCAGAGATGAGTTTTCATGATACTTTTTATACAATTAATATATTAAGAGTCATACAGACTTTATAGGCTTCTTTTCTCTGACAAATTCTGTGTTTTCTTCTCGTTTTACTATTAACTCTTTGCCTGTTTGAACTTTTCTAACACAGGACGAGGCTGTTTATCAGAGAGTGAAGGCTCTGTGAACATATCTTGTCTTCAGGTCTTCACTGTGCCGTTATCCTCTAATGCTGACATACATATTGGCCTACTGTGTATATATTTTAAGTTTTCTTACACCCCTTAAAATCAAGAAGGCTTTGTGACCCCCCCCCCTTGAAGCTTTGGTGACCCCTAGTGGGTGCCCTGACCCCCCCAGGTTGGGAACCACTACTGTAGAGGACTCAGAGAGCAAAAAAAAAAGTACATTTGACTTCTGAGATTCATTCTTAATCTTGGAAAAATGTAAAACAAATTACTATTTGTCTAGAAATCCATGCAAACTGGGCAAACTCCCCCTGCTGAAGATCATTTGATAGGACTGAAAGCTCCAGAACAGCTAGATAAATAATGTGTTTTTCCAGATGTGCAGCTGTCTGACCTTCCAGGATGGGCGTGGCCTCCAGGACTTGCTGCTCTATCCAGGAGTGTTGACCACTGATGGCTGCGAGGAACTGCAGAATCAGCTTCGTGCTCTCCGTCTTCCCAGCTCCGGACTCACCGCTGTCACACACACAGAAGACTGTTACACACTCGTATGACACACACACACTCTCAACAATACATATATCACACACAACAAAATAAAACATTTAAAAAAATAAAAATAAAGTTTAGTTTCAGCTTAATATATGTCTATAATTTTTATAAACTGTGTCCTCTGACCATCCAGCTGCCAGAATATAGATAAAATAAATACATAATACACTCACAGAAACTACTGCAAGCTTAGTTTAGTGATGAGTAATTTAAAGTTTTTTCTGTCCTGCGTTAAAGGAAATATTACACATTTGGGGAAATAAACTTAGTGACTTAGAGAGTTAGATTAGTAGATTGATACCATGTATGTACATTAAATATTAAGCAACCATAAGCAGCTGGTTAGTTTAGCTTAGCTTAGCATAAAGACTGGAATCAGGAGGGAACAGCTCGCCTAATTCTGTCCACTCTGCCTCCCGAACACCTGTAAAGCTCACTGAGGAAAATAGTGGATTTAATCTGTATAAAATCCAAAGTGTAAAATCAACTAATCACCAGTTTACAGGTTATTTTTGGGGATTTCTTTGTTATTTGTCTGAAACAACACAATAGACATGCTACAAAATGCTCTCTTCTAACTCTTAAGAAAGCAAATCAGGTTTTTATTTACAAATATTATCATTCAGCTGAACTGCAATAAAAGAAAATGACTTGTAATAAAAAGAAATATCATATTTAAACTAAATTAAAGTTACTTAAGTTGTCTTACTGCATTAATAAAGCTGTAGTTGTTAATAAATCTTCTAATTTCCATCCTAACTGCATGTTCCACACACACACACACACACACCTGATGATGCAGCACTGGTCCTTGTTGTTCCGCTGCATGTTGAAGTAACAGTTGTCTGCTATGGCGAATATGTGCGGCGGCAGCTCGCCAATCTTCTTATTGGTGTAGAGGCGGATCTGGTCTGGAGTATAGATGGGGAGCAGCTGGTAGGGATTGACTGCAACCAGGATTGAGCCTGTATATGTCTGCAGGAAGCAAACAACAGAGGAGTGGATGATTGAAAACGCTACAATCCTTGACTATTGTACATTTTAGAGACAATATCTCAAAATCAAAAAGTGTCGTTGAGACTTTTACAAACTACTGTTGTTATATTTTCCAAATCATACAAGAAAGATGTAGATATGATCTTGTTTAATTTGCCCCTATGACTTTTATTTTCTTTGATTCATCGGCATTCCTGACAATTTCACTCTGATTTGATTGTTTGATTTTTTGAATTTGACTGATTGGAAAATGTATTTCATTTACAAAATGAAGTCAATAGAATCTATTACATTAATCACATGAAACTGAAAGCTACAGAAGAAGTTGGAGCAAAGTTAAGTGACTGTAACTGTAACATATGGAAACCAAGAGAAGCCATGAATGAAACGACAATTTTACCCATTTAAAAAAAAAGATCATGACTGAAAATACCTTTTTATCTTGTGATACAAACCTTTGTTTCTTGTGATCTCTGACCAGATATTTGCTGTTGATGTCATTGTGTGATTTAATGCTACATTGGTTTGTGTTGTTTCACCATTGATTCATTCAAAGAAACAGAAACAAAGATTAACACGTCAAAACTTTGGATTACTAATGTGTTAAACTTTGTAAAGGACCAACATGATGTGCGGAGTTCCCCAAGGCTCAATCCTTGGTCCACTTGCATTTAACATTTACGTGGCTCCATTGGTCCAAATTATGCACAACAAATAAAACTAATGACCTGATTTTTGTCAAGATAAGTTCCCTTACTTCTTATTGAGTACTGCCACCTCTGGTGAGTATGGGCGTACCCACCACTGAGGTCACCAAGGTATGGAACACTCCTTTTATAGGGGTTTTACAATAAAAGTTGTGAAATATTTGCCTAAAAATAACAAATTTAATGCTCTGATGCTCTGAAACACCAGGTTCAGTGTTGACCTCTGTATTTCTAACACCCTGTGTATCGTAGTGCTGGTGAGGTCCTCAACGCCTGCGTAACTGTGTCTCCGTGTGACCACAGTTAGCTTAACACTAAGAGAACAGCCCTGAAAATGTCCTTGTTGAAAAGGATAAACACCAAAAGGATCAGGGTTAAGTTTTGTTTAGGTTTGTGCTGAATTATGGTCAGGCACTTGGAGAGAAGATGAAAGACTGAAAGTCAGCGCTCATCTCGACTCCAAGCCAAGAAAACCAAACCAGAAATCTTGGTTTAATCATGGACTCAGAGTTAAAGAAATAGTTGGGAAATACTTTTTAGTATTCTCACTCTTGCCATGAGATAGATGAGACAACCAATACCATTCTCGGTGTGGTTTCGATCTTTTCATCTGACTCTCTGCAAGAAAGCAAGTAAGTGTATTTCTCTTCATCTCAAACTAATTGATAGTAAAAGGGAAGACCCACAAAAACTTGTCCTTGCTTTCATTTCCACCAGGTAACTTCAGCTCATTCAAAATTCTGCTGCTAAAGAAGAAAGAAAACCAAAAACCTCATCATGAGCTTCCAATGGGTCGTAAAATAGTTAAAGTACTGCTGTTTGTCTTTGAATCTCTCAGTGATTTTGGACCAACATGCACAAACTAAACCCTCTTTGTGTCTCAGCAGCATTTATTACTTTGCACCACGAACCTGCAATAAATTTAAAAAAAATATAATACTTGCTGTGACTTTGACTACTTCTAAGTGTGTATTAACAACTTTCCACTGCAGGATGTTAACTTTTTAATTTGCATTTGGATGTTTTATGTTGCATTTCTTGATTTTACTTCTATCTTTAAAGCATCTTTGTGCTTAAAACGTGCTGCACAAATAAACTTGCCTCAGTCATGATGTTGAGATAAAATGATGTTGAGTAAAATAAAGAAAAGTTCATCCATGGCTGCTCTTACCACACAGTTACAGTCGTGACATGTTAAACACGATAAATACAGAAAAAGAAAAAATATGTTAGGGAGGATGCAGCATCGCAAAAAAAATAAAAGAAAAAACGTGTTAGCAAAGTTTTCTGTTTCATTATCATACTCACCCTTCCACCACAATTCGTCTACATGGAGAGAGAGAACAAAACAACCAAAAACTATTAGAGAGCTACCTTAAGGAATACACATAAGCACAAGTTTTTAGGAGCTTGCCCCTCTGGTCAACTGAGCTGTTAAGCTCCAACTACTAGACCACCGTAAGCTTTAATTAATCCTGCGTGGTTCTTGGAATAAAGCTCGTACTCGGGCGTGACGAGGAGTAGCAGCAGCATGCCACAGATCAGCCTCAGTTTGGGAAGAAGAAGCTGAATCCACTTCCTAAACCTTGTTACCAAAGTAACCTGGTTTTGGGTTATGTATACAAAGATTTAAAAGCAAGTAAGCAGTCAGTAATCACTTTTATATCTGGAATCTATACAAACACACTGTATTCACTAGTAAAAACACAACTGCAGGAATTATTTCTTTATCTCGTAACGGTTAAGGACATGATGGTTCTACCTGATTCAACTCTTATTTTTCCGCTTTGGTTTGAGACACCGGGGCTGAGCAATGTGTAAGTATTTAACGTTACACACAGGAGTACAGGGATCTGAAGTGGAGGCATGGAGACTTTAAGGGATGGCTGAAATATATGCTGACTTAATCAATCACATTTATCAATATTTGCTTTGAAAAGTCCTTAAATTAAAATATTTGAACTCAAATCTTCACACATTTTTCTAAATACATGTATTTTTTCGTTGAACTTAAGCCTATCACTTGTGCCCGTAACAGATCATTAAATTAATTTCCTTTTTCCCAACACGTTATTTTTAAAATTAATCTAAATTAATGTGTTAAATTCTGCTTTGAGGGTGGTAATGCCCCAGAAACCAAGAGGTTAAACCAGTTGCTTCACAAAGTCATACATCTGAAATGCATCCAAGCCATCAAAATATGTGATTTTTACGTTATGTTTATTTTAATACTATAGTCCCGTTAAATAACAGCTATCAGAATTAAATAATAAGCGTAATAAAGTACGATAAACAACGATTGCAGTGGCTATATTCGAATCTGATGGATCACAGAATACGATGCAACTCCTGTTATCTCGTAATTATGAGATAGAAGGTCGTATTTATGAAGCAATTGATTAATCTACTAATTATTTTCTAAATGTATCTTTTGATCTGTAAAATGTTAACAAAATAACCCCACAGTGACTTTTAAAAATGTCTTAATTTGGTCATAAACACAAAGATATTTATTCTAGAAGACGATGGAAATCAGTAAATATTCACAATTTAGAAGCAAATATTATTTGATTATCAAAAAAGTTGCTATTTAATGTCATAAATTAATCTGCTAATTACTGAAACTCTTATTATTAGATAACGTCCTCAGTTCTTGTCTTTGGTAACCGCAGTGTGCTCCTGTAGAAATCCTCTAAAGTAACATCTAGTACTCGTCAAAGAGTGAGGCGTGTACGTTCTTTATACTTTATTTATAGTAACGAATAAACTCAATTGCCGGTATTGAAGGTTCAAGTAAACAGCTTAACCTGAATAAGAACTTAACTTGAGCTGTGAACATTTGCCAGGTTACTCCTTCCACATAAAGTGAGGAAGAGCTCTCGATGTCTCCATCACACTGTAGGAGACTGTAAACGCTTTGATAAGAGCTGCAGTGGTTGTTAAAAACAGGGTACTAACGTAGATGACGTGCTCGTTGTAGCGGATGAGCAGGTTGCGGAGGATGCCGGCTTCGTTGAGGTCGCCCAGGCGGATCATGTCCTCCACCCCGTGGATGGAGGTCGGGTGCATGGGTTTGATGTTGGTGGCATTCTGAGGGGAAATCCAGTGTTCCTGTGTGAGAGGAGTAAGAGGAGATTACAACATTGCTCTTATTTTGTCGGTTATAAGATCTAAACCGCTTCGTCTATGAGGTGAGGTGTCAATAAGGTGCACCTCACTGGGGGATGAGAGAGGAGCTCTTTCTTCCAGACAAAGCCGCCTGTCGATCAGGGGAAAATGGGTCCACAAGTCTCCCTTTTTGCAGATATATTCCCACTAAACCAATCCCATGCAGTTTGCCTGGACAGTGACTAATACTTCATACCATGCCCTGTATAAGGCGGTGCCCCTCTTGTAACACCCCAGTCAAAAAAAAAGACACTTCACAGCTCGTTCTCATTCCCAGGTCGTCAGATATAGACGCGAGGGGTTCTCAGTTAACTGGTACACTGGTAAATAAAATCTTTTTGCTTTTAAACTATTTTTTTTGGTCTTTATATGTTGCTGATAACAATCAGTTGAGCCATAATGTGTGTGTTATTATAGTCATAGTATTTTAAATAATCTCTATAGCAGAATCTACTGCAGTATATCCTTTTCACCACACATTGTTCTGGTATAAATATGACAAATAAAGATTAATTTAAAGTGACAAACAACTGTACCATGTACACAATGCTGCAGTCCCACATCTCAACCATTAACTTAACGGGTACAATGTTATTATTACTGACAGAGATGAAGGACAAAACTACAAAAGTAAGACAAAAGATGAAATAAACTCTAAAGAATTCTCCTTTTAAGAATCAAAACCACTAATAAAAACAACGGGAGCAGAGAAACAGTGGGTTTTACTGAGGCTCATAACTCTAAAATACATTTAACATGTGAACAAACAATCACATCCATTCAGAAACATACAGAAAGAGCACTGGCGTACTTCCTGTTGTGTTGTGGACTTACCCTGCCTTCATCATCCAGAACCTGGATCTGACCAGAGTCGCACAGTTTGACCACGGCTCCCACGGGGACGTCAAACTCTCGGCCCGTTTTAAGGTCCAGCCACACATAGTCCCCCTGCATTATAAAACACAGCTCTGGTTTTAACTCTGAAATGGTGAACACGTCCTCAACTAGAAGGTGAAAAAAACTAAAATATAACATTTTTAATATATTAAAATATCAATAAATAGCATGTAGCCTGTTGTTGGTATATTAGTGACATCAAAATGAATAGAGATACAATCAGTGAGACAAAAACATAAAACAGTAACAGTTACAAAACACATTATATATTAATTATTTTGGTTATTTTATAATACACAAATAATATAATATAATGTAATGTAATGACAATACTGTAATAAAATAATATGAATTGATAATACAGTATAAGACTAACTTTTATGTCAATTTGTATTTAATTTTTAGGGCAATAAAGAGGAGGGGAGGTAAGAAATAGAGCTAAAGTGACTAAAACCTACATTTTTATAATAACAATGACAAAATATAATAAATAATATATATTAACAATCTGTCTTAAAGCTGAGATCAATGTAAAGAATTTAACAATAAATCCTTTTATACATTGAATCCACTAACTACAGACTCTAAAGAGCTTAATGATAGATTCTATTACGAGACAGGCAGCAAACATAAAGTGAAGGACCGATATTAAAGTATAATTACTGAATGTGAGACATTAATATGTTGTTATACACACACACACACACACACTTTTACAACTGTTTACTGGCATCTTCTAGTTGTTTTTACTCATTTATTGTATTTAATGAACTGTTTCTTTTCTATTCTTTCTTGTTTTTTTTTTATTAAAAACACTTAAAATATATTAAATTGAAAAAAAAAAAAGTGATTCACAATGAAACCGTTTCCAACTCAGCTTGACTCAACCCAATTGATGATATTGTAGCTTGTCCCGTCTCCAGTCGCCGGTTTTAAAACGAAAGAAACATCAACCTGCTTTAGTGAATCTGAGTTTCAGCTCCTTGTTTGACTTTTAGGTTCACTCTCATCGTCCTCATAGAGCCTGTTTTCAGTGATAAAGCTCTAAAAAGCCACAGCTAGTCTCTGATGAACGTCCAAATATAAATCCAATATTCACTGTTTTCCACACACAGAGCAACATTATCATTAATCTGGAGTCACCTGTTGAATTTAAGTCCAACATTCAACCTCTTTTAGCTCTTTAAGAAGAAACAGATTGACAATAATCTTCCTAATGTGGAAACTATTGATTTATCTCCATCGTAGTGAGTTGGAGAGTTCTTGTGTTTGTCCGACATTAATCGTAGAATAACTCTTCTCTTTCCACCGAAGAACATCTTTTATTGCAGTATCTGACACGTTCACTCTCTTCTTACTCGCCTCCTGTGTTTATCATGTCAGTTTCTCTCCTTCAATCTGTTTCTATGTATGTTGGATAACTGGGAAGTATAAAAGTTGCATCACGCAGACACAGTTACCTACTTTTTCAGCTGCCAACTCGCTGAACGGGAGGATTTAGTCTGAAAAAAGGCTTAAAAACCTGACCACCTTCAGCTCAATATGGACATGATGTAACCCCCCCCCGGCCTCAGAGCTTTATGTTGTTTGGGTATGTAACACTGAGCGAAGTCTAATTTTAGTGTCTGTCAAGTGACCAGCCAGGTTTCCTGCCAAATACGGAGCAAATTTTAACCGGATTTCGAGAAAAATCGTCAACAGAAAAATGTTTAAAATATTTAGAACATTAATATAGCTGCAAACAACATATTTGCTCACTTTGCCTGTTTAGATCACCAGAGAGTTTGAATTAAATGTGTGTTTTACGATTATCTGCAGTGTAAAATTACAGTTTTTGTCTATGGAGTCTGTTGAGGAACAAAATGTCTATTTCTGAAGACCATAATGTTGTCAGACACTTAGAATAACAATCTCACTGTGTTACGGCTGATCGGTGTAAATAACTGAAAATAATATTTAATAAGTTTTCAATACTTTCTCACCTTTCTAGCCTCCTGATACTTAATAAATATTGTTCACATATGAATATTTTATCATGATCTCAACATAAGAGGAGATAAAAACAACGTATGAATGACTATAAATGCTTTTTGCTTCTATAGAGATGAAGTGACTGATGAAAAACAAACTGTATCTACCACAAACTCTACGGCACCAATCTCAGCCCCGCAGTCTAGACCCTGACCTTAAGGAGGCTATTTCTTGCTTCCATTTAACAACACCCAGATGTCGCCCATTGAATGAGATTCATAGCTGAGGCTCTGAGCTGAGATTGAGTCGTGCCCCGCAGGACTCAGGGAGGAGAAAGGCACCGGGATCTAGTTATCGAAGAGAAACTATCGATGGTCTGATATGAAATAAACCAGACTGAGAGAGGAGACGCTGCTGCTGCTGCTATATTTAATCTGCTCGGACTTTGATGTGTTACTGAAAACAACAGCTCACACATTTAGGGTTTATTACTTTATTTATATTACATATGTTTAATTTTCTTACAATTTATTTAATGTCATTTTTTTTTAGGCATTCTAGTGGAAACGCTTTATTTTACAAGGAGTCTCTTATGATCTGTGATTTACCTGCAACATGAACTATTTCCTGTAACCTCCTGTAAGCTTTTCTTTTTTTTAAATTAGCTATTGTTTGTTTGTTTGTTTGTTTACGTTATTGTTATTATTGTGGAAAAATCCAATACATTTATAGTATACAGAGTAACCCTGCCAACGATTGTCTCCCTTTAGGTAACCTCAAGCCATATTATTAGCTAACTGTATTATAACGTGTGGTTGGAAGCTGCACTACAAAAATATCAAATATGATAAAATGATTGTTTTAAAAAATGCTTAAAGAGAATTATTGAAGAGGAAACTAATAAATACTCGTTGGTGAAATGATGATAATTGTCTGTTAGTTCATGAAACATCCAGTCGGAGCTCGTTTGTTCTGTTATTTTTGTGTGTTTGTCTGTAAATTGTGTTAATTGTTACTGTTTTATTTACAGTGTATGCGCATTATGATGTGACGAGTAATGTGAGTGAGTATATTTGTATATTATTGTCACTGTTCTTTTGTCTTATCTTGCTTTTTGCCTGACATGTGTTTGTTTGTATCTGTTTGTATGTTTTATTTCTCTTATTTGTGATTCTGTTGTGTTTTATTGTGAAAATCTGAACAAACAAACAAGAGGTAAATAAGATAACATGATGAATATTTGTGTGAACTGACCCTTTAACACCCTCCGTTTGCCACATAATTAATCCATTATAACTCAATTTGCTGTATCTGACTTTGCTGTTGGAAGAATCTCATTATTTATCAGCTTCCATCTAATCTTTCACTGATATTATAATTTCCTTATTGCTTATCTTAAACAGGCCTTTTATTAACGGTATCACCTACAGTTTGGCTGCCTAAAGAGAGAACAGTCTGCAACAGGGAGAGAAACTTTCTGCCCTCCTTCAAAAGCCAGACACCCTTGAAACAGGTATCAGTACTGGGGCATGATGAGGCTAAAACTATATGAGAGGGAATAAATGGTCTCAAACATGGTGCCTGATGGCCTGCAAGTAGCTCATAATAGTGGTTCCCAATCTTTTTCTTTAAAACACTCCACTTCTGTCATTAAGTGAACTGACGACTCCTGAATAAGTGACATATTTTATGTATATTTCATATTATATTTTCTCATATTATACTCAACTGTACAGTGAACACAACAACTGCAGCAAGTTTGTGTAAAATGAGCAATTAAATGACTTTTAAGCATTTTAGTTTTTATTATTTTCTATGAATATTACATCAGAGATGAGTTTTTCTTATACTTTCAAGGACGTTTTATACAATCCTGTCTGTATTATGTTGTTTTTTTTATGTTTTTTTTTTTCCCTTTATGACAAAGTCAGTGTTTCTTCTCCTTGATATCCATCGTTTTAATGCAGGCTGTTTAGCTGTAAGTAAAGTCTCTGTGAATGTAGCTTGTGTTTAGGTCCTCAAAGCTGATATTTTAAATAATAATCTAACTTTTCATTTAGTTTTTCCCCACAGAAATAAAGGAAATGCTGAGATCCTACCCATGTTTAAAGTTTTCTTACAATCAAGAAGGCCTCCCGACCTCCCTGGTGAAGCTTTGGCGACCCCTACAGAGCACGTTGTATAATCCCAATCTTTAATATTGTGTTTCATAACACTCGACTACACACACAGACTAATCTTTATTACACCTTCTGAGTTGAATCCGTGCTTCCCTTTGTGTCCCGAATGGCGGCCTAAGCCATTGTCAACTTTCTCTGAGTAGTAATTTTAGATTTTCTATCAGTTAATTGACTTTACCTTTGATTAGGCGAGCTGAGTAAATTGACACACCTCACCCGCAATCCCAAATCAAATTGGTTCAATTCTGTACAAACAGTACAAAGATGACTACAGGTGAAAATACACTGTGTTATTCTACTGAAAGCATCAGTTTAACGTGGATGTTCGAGGCACACAGACCTTCACTTAACCCCTCGCTTTCCCCTCTGTGTCTCAAATATAAACTGAAATAGGTTCTTTTCAAAGTAGCAACCGGTTATATAACTACATTATTATATTAATACAGTGGACAAGTGATAAGAGTCTTTCTGTTAATGGTTGGTATAAAGTTATATTCTACAAAGTCTGGCAGCCTTATTTGATGTTTCTTCTATTATTTTACAAGGAGTCTCTTGCAACATGAACTATTTCCTCTAACCTCCTGTATGCTCTTTCTTTTTTAAACCTACAGTAGCAACCTAACATTATTTCCAAAGGCAATAATTAGAGTATTAGAGTCTAGAGTTTCAACGAATCATCTTTAACACTTTAAAACTAGGACGAACACACAAACATTGCTGCTCCTATATTTCCATCATCAGCTGCTGAGGATGCTGATGCAGCTTTAGCCTCAGCTCCAACGTTAAATCATGTTCATATTTACAGGCTTTAAGTTTAATAAAAAAGCAGCTGGAAACATCCATAACTCCACAAACTCCACAGTGACTGTGGAGGTCAACGGCCGACTGTGAAGATTTCCCTAAACTGAGTCAAATAACAGGATGAAAGCAGAATCAACGTGACCTACCTGCTGCAGAATGACCATGGTTCAGCCTCGGGTTGATAGCAGGACATCAGAAGTCACCATGTGTGGGCTCTGCAAAGGAGACAATCGGACGTCATCCAACTGAAGGAACGAACTACTTCTGCAAAATTAATGAATAAAGTACAAAGCAGAAAACAGCACAACATACAAACTCTATACTTAAATGTATTTAGCTTTATTACCAACCGTAAGAACTTGTTTCATATAACTAGTTATGACCTTATAAAGTTATTTTTGTTTTGTTGTCCTGTCTACGAGGAGTTGTACTTTAGGAAGGGAACATTTGCTAAGCTTACTAAATGCTCCACTGTGTTCCTGCGCTAGTTGCTTACTTTGTCTGTCTGACAGTGAACAGTGCTGCTTACTGCTGCTGGAAATAAGATCCACAACAATGAACTAAAAAGGCACTTGATCAATGTTTCATATGTACATACTGACTGGACTAGAGACGTATGATCCAACACATACAGGGGAGTCAATAATCAACTAATGCCCTGCAAAGAATGGACCTCAAGAAAGTAAAAAATCCTGGTTTCTTTGCTGTTGTGAATGAAGAAGCTGTTTAATTTTTCAGTTTTAACAAAAAATGTTTAAAATAAGAAGCTTTTGGTGCCTTAATTTAAGACAAAGTCACTTATTTTTATTGTGCTGTTTGAAGAAATTCAGCCTTATTGTAAGATTCTTTTGACCAAAATACTTATTCTAAGAAAGTCTATCAAAAATAACTGAGTTTTCATTGCTTGTAATAACAACTTGCTTCAACTCTTAGCCTTTCTTTAGGTTTTTACAGTCTTTAGGAAGGCTAGAAGTTTTAAGAAGTCTAGCCAAACTAAACCGGTTTACCCTATCGGTAGATTTATTTGCTCAATACAAGAAAATTTGATTATATTTTAGAATATTTGGGTTGTTTCTAGAAGGGCTGTTCTTTTAGTGTGACGTGTAGACTTATCTCAGGACACTGTTCATATAGAGAAGGTCTACATCGTACTCCTTATAAAATTATTTACGCCCAACAATTCCCACCATGAGCAAGCACTTGGCGACAGTGGCAAGGAAAAATCTTCTTCCTAATATAGGCTAATTTCCACCCACAATAAAGCATCTAAATTTAAATTCATACCACACAGTATCATTAGTTAGAGACCATCAGCCATGTGGTTGAGCTGGACATTGGAGACCAGAGAGGGAAAGGGGGGGTTTAGGGGGTTAAAGGGTCTGGTGGAGGCTGTTAAAGGCTTAATTGGATTCCTGGGACTAATCCCATCGCTTAAGTACGAGCTGTAGTCGTTGCAGTTATGACTGCTGAATCATTTTCTCCCCCACTCTTTCCTTTTGTTACCCTCGTAAACAATGACGATGGTACAATACTGGATACAGTACGGTGGCCTTTATGTTTCCAGTATTTTGACTCTTTGCACATTTTTCAGCTGCAAACTTTAGCGTAAAAGTGACATTTTATAGTAAAAGAAAGAGACAAATAACAACAGTTTACTGCCTCAGTCCTCGTTGTGTGCAGATACTCCCACTTTAAATGCTGGAGCAGTGTCCAGTGTGTCGCTGTATTGAAATCAAATTGATATTTGAAGGAATTACTGAAGCAGAACTGAATAATTCAGATGAAATGTGAAGTGGAACTGAGATTACCCTTTTTCCCTGCTGATTCCTTTCAGGGAATACAAACAAGTTGGAAACATAAATAGCTTCAAACAACCCCAGACTGTATGAGTGATGAAGGTAGCCTGTGTCACAGGGGGCGAGGGGGGGAGGGGCTAAGTGTATTAATGATCCATTAGTGGTTCGATAAGCAGATTAACATTTAGTTGAATGTGCCTCGCTACAAGAAAACTCGGATTCATCTCGAACAGGAGCAGTAAACCTCGTGGAGGCCGGCAGATATACAGCATGAAGTTCATCCACATGCAGAACGTCACAATATGCTCAGCTAATGCCAAGACAGAGCCTCTTATCCAGAACTACAGGGAGCCAGACATCTGTCCCAAACACAGACCTATAGATCTGTACTTAAACTCCACAACCCACCATGTGAAAGCACATACAGACACAAGCCTAAAGTTCTGGTACCTGTAGAGTTTCCACAATTAATTATTTTAGCTGTCAAAGTCCCGTTCCTAAGAAGCTGTGATAGTTTTTGAGACAAACACAATGTTATTTCTTTCACAAAAGGGATGTATTAACATTTCTGTGGTATCAATTTAGAGCTTTCACCACACAGATTACAAACAAATGCCGAGTTCAACGCGTCATTATAACTCAACAGCTCTTTGCTGTTGTTGGGAGGACTCTGCTACCCAACCTGCGACTATCTTGTTTGAGCAATTTCGTTGAGTTTGGGTCAAACTTGCGAGATCACAAAATCACCTGACAATCCACCTTGCCAGGCTTCAATCTAGTGTCCTTTGAGGAAGGTAGCGGCAGCTACGGGGAGTTGGTGCTCAGTGTGACGCAGCGAGAAGACACAACAATGGTGGTTAGAGTAGATGCCGCGATATAGTTTCAGTTATATCAGAACTGGAGAGTTTTTATTCAGTGAAAGAAGAGCGAAGAACGACACTGAAGAGATTTTTTTTTGCTCTTTTCCCGACTGACTTCACTCAGAGTTTGACTACGTTTTGTGGTTCGTTGACCTGATTAGCTGAAGTTTAATCAGCAGCTGAGTGTCCGTCAGGTCTTAAAGACGTGGGTATGATCTGGGTTTGGGTATCGAGGTTATAGAGACTTCTGCAACCCAACAACACTATGAGGAGAACTGTGAGTTAGTTTTATGTCTGTCAGGACGTAATATTTTGTGAATAAATAATAATAATGAAGTGTTAATAATTGTGTAATACTGTATAAAATGACTGTTTTTGTCTGTATGGAGTCTGGATGCTTTGGACAGCAATATAACGGTTGTTACTGGTTAAACAAAAGGATTTTAAGGTCCTTTCCACAATACTGTCAGACACTATAATAATAATAATAATAATAATAACATAATATAATAATCTGAGTCTGTCAGTGGCAAAAAAACAAGATTATTTAGACCCCAAAACAGGTAAAATTAGAGCTCAGGTTTTAAAAAGACCAGAATTATCCTTTAAGATGCTAAGCAAGCTTTTAGTTTAGCATGAAAGGAAAGTAAAGTAGTTCGGACTCACATGGCAGAGACTCAGAGGCACAGAGAGGCGCGAAGCTTTCATCGTCGACCAAGAAAGTTTAATGTTTCCATGTCTTCTGTAAGTTCTGTGGTTCAGAGTCTGCAAAACAACAACAACAACAACACAGGAGGAGTGAATGTTGTCTTTATAATATTAACACTATCAGTGGAACCTCAGTACAACAGGTAACTCCCGACATCCGGATACTGGAACTTAAAACTGCTTTTAAACTTATATTTCTAAACTAGCCTAATAATTTTAACTAATTGCATCTTATTTTTTTTTATATAAATTGATTTCTTGTTGCTGCCTTGTTGTTTATTGTATGATTTATTGATGTAATGTTGTATTACTCTGCTGTTATATGATGTAAGGTGACCTTGAGTGCCATAAAAAGGAACCACTAAATAAAATGTATTATTATTATTATTATTATTATTATAATTATTACTGAAGAACTATTGCAAAGTGCAGTTTAGAGCTACTTGTACTGTAATTTCACTCATCTGACAGCTACAGTTAATAGTGGAAGAGGGATTTTCCTTGCACATAAATCTTAATTAAATAATAAGAAATGTTTGTTCCATGTTATGTTTTCCACCATTCATACAGCCCTGTAGAAGGATTACGAGACATTGGTCCTGTGTCGGGGCAGCAGTTCCTCATACAGTTTTTTACTTGCATTTAACAGTATTTTGACCAAATATTTGTCCCTTCTGGTGTCAAATATCTAACATTAAACCAGCTGAAGCGTCCGTTCTCCTCAACCTTCATCAAGCTGCTGAACTCTGATACTAAATCTTTTGCAATAGAGCAATGTGCAATAAATATACCAGCAATGTAGCACATCTGTTTAAGTCGCCATATTGTCAGTGTTAAAAGCCTCTGTCTTCCTAATACACTTTCTCTTTAATATATCTGACGTCGGATTGACGCCACTCTAACGTCTATAAAATGTGTAACTGGCGCCAGCAGCAGGTTAGTTTAGCTTAACCTACAGACTGGAAACTAGCCTGGCTTTGTCTAAAGGTTAAAATAAATCAATATGTACAATAAAAGTGTAAAAAAAATGACATCGGGAGATTGCTTTATATCTTTGGACAGAGCCAGGCTAGCTGTTTCCCCCTGCTTCCAGTCTTTATGCTAAGCTAACTAGCCCTCTCATATTAAACACAGACACACGTGTGAGCTGATAGAGGGTGCAGATTCTTAACAAACAATAATAAGTGGTTGCAGTGGATCAGTATTAATGATCAGTGACTCAAACACTGCAGCTCAGAGGGGAGAGAGAGAGGTAGCTGTACTCAACTGGCGCTTTGTTTAAAGCTAATTCACATTTTTCTGAGCTCAACTGCAGTTAACAGTGAGGCCAAGGCCAAACTAGGAAGTGCGTCACAACACCGGCCCCATTATATGGTCTGCATTGCTCACGTAAAATCACAGATTCCACTTTGCGACTTCATTGTATTGATGTGAAGTTCATTCTACAGACCACAGAAACAGCAGTTTGAGAGTCTCCCATAAATCCTTAATTAAGGTCAGTTTGCGAACCTTTATGGGAGTGTTTAAATGCAGCACTTGCTCAGAATGATGTCGTTAAAACGCTCCGTAAAAAGCTTAAAAGTAGAAACATTTTGTCAATTAACTGATCAGTCGATCGGCAGAAAAATGACCTGCAACTATTCGATCTTGATCCTCTTTCAGAGGATTTGCTGCTTTTCTCTGCTATAATTTACTGTAAACTGAAGATCTTCTGGTTTTGGACATTTGAAGATGTCATATCGGATTCTGGGAGGTTGTGATGGATGTTTCTTCACATATTTGTGACATTTTATAGATGATTAATCATTAATGGAAATAATGACCCTACTTGAGTTAAGATCCTTATTTTTGGTCGAGCTATCGCGATTTTATCTTGTTCTCATCCAAGTATTTACAGTTCCTTTGCTGTTCTATTGAGCATATTCTTCATCCTGATTTCTGCCTTTATGCTCTACTTAATATAATTATTGCTTTCCACTTTTATAATTCCCACTAACATCTTTTAATGCATCAATTATGTTACTGTTATATCTTTTCTGTTTGCCATTTCTACCTGCTTTAGAAGAAACGGTTGTCTTATCTGGAGAGAGGTAATCTCTAATGGAATCTAAATTGGAAGTAAAGAAACTATTCAGACTTTATGCAACAAACACACACACACACACACACACACACACACACACACACTACAGCCAACTGTATTTACTTGAAGGGAACATAATGGCTCCTTTAAGCGCTGGCACAGTACGCAGAGCAGTAAGAGGCTTTGGCCTAAAGCTACAGCAGAGCAGCAGCACTGTGGCCTGGCTGCAGGCTAAGCCCTCGTCCCTTGTTCACCTGCCCCACTTACCTCTAAACACACTTCTTCCTCCTGGTCTTTTCTGTCCCGGTGTGAAGAGGCCCCCGTGGCCCGAGTGGTCGGTGGCTCAAGATGGTGCAGGACTGGAGAAGAAGCTGGAGGACGATCTCTCTTTGCTCTGGTCTTTGTCCTTTTTTTTTCCTTTGCTAAGAATCTTCCACCTGTTGTGGTCCTCAGGTGGTCCCGGGCCTCCTGTACGTGGTTCAGCGGTTGCGGCCGAGTTCCAGTTTGATGTCTGGGTCAGTGACGGGGCTCTCCAGGCTCTCTCGCTGTGTCTCATTCATGGCTGCTGATCCTGATTAGCTGGGAGGTGGAGCCTGTTGGTGGCGGATACAGAGACCAGCTGGGAGGTGGAGAAGGAGGTGACCTGGGTCATGATTTCAAGTGGTTGCTCTGTTACCACATGCTAAGTAATAAAAAGGGTCAGTTCACAGAAACTGCAGGAGAACATTTACATTCCCAGTACCTCTAGTGGCACTTCCCCATGCAGATAGTTCTGGTTTTATGTGTTCTAAACATATTTTTTATGCCTTTATCTTTTACGCTCTTACAGCTTCCCTCTGTACTCGACTTATCTATCAATCAAGATCTCAATTCATGGAACCAGATCTGAAGACTGGACGACCAACGTACAGGAGTCAGGACTGAAGAGGGGAAAGCAGCCGGCAGTAACTCTGCACCAATTATGTGGAATCACTTTCACACTACGGCTAAGCTGTCCTTTTTGGTATCATATGGGGCTTTTAAAGAGCTGACTGAGCCACTTAGAGGAATATACTTGCAGCTGCTACAGGTAGAGGTATAGACCTATAGGTATGCATATGTTAAATTAATATGTAAATGTAATTTACATAATAAATAAGTACAAACTAAAATGATTTACTTTGTCTTTATGCTCATTTGCATTCAACATGTGACAATTATGTTGCACTGCCATCTTTGACCAGGTCTCTTGTAAAAGATATGATACGTCCCAGATCTATAAGGCACTATTTCTTCATCTACAGGACTGCTACTGCAACTTTATACAGCATCACCAGCTGCACTATGACTTACATAAAAGGGGCCAAGTGACATGTTAAACTTATAATCCAAGAGGTCCGGTTTGAGCAACAGATCCATGAGTTTGAAGATTTATAAAACACTGCGGTTTAAAATGCTCTGAGACAGGATTTTACAAATTGCTGCGCTGTCAGGCTGCAGGCTCAAATGAATGAGAGTCTGACATTCAGCAGGATCTATCGGCAGAAATGGAATATAATGCTTAACTTCTACTATTTAATTTCAACTACGTATCCCCAGATTTCCCCCTGCAGATTGTAAATTAAGCAATAGGAGCAAAACATGTTATAGTTTAGTTTTTGAAATCAGTGAACAAATCTAGTTTGAGGGTCTATCACAAACTTGCATTGATGATTAATGAAAAATACCTTTGAGAAGATTCAGAGATCTTTTGTCTGTAGTTTTTCTGCCTTTAATATTTGCAGATATAATTTATGCACATTCTCTTATTGATTTGCTTCTTGTATGTGTTTTATTTCTTAATCTCCGAGAGCTACCTGTCGACAGCAAGGTCAGACTGGGGGGCGAATACAGCATCCGATGCCAACCGAGGACAGTTTGAAGACAGGGAATAAAGTACAGAGGAGAGAAGTTCAGTTAAGAATGTGAATGTCATGATATAATTGGGTGACATAGGGTTAGTTTATGCTTATGTAAGCAAATACAATTGGATTTTGACATAAAAATACAAAGAAATGGGAGTTTTTGTACATTTTATGGCACTAAAATATAATAGTATTTAATCTTAATGGGTTAAAAAGACATTTTTCTGTATATCTCAAGAGACTTCCTGGTTTTAATAGAATAAAAATGAACGACAACTCCAGAATAGGTTTTCCGGTTTTATTTCAAAGTCATGCCACAAGTTGACATTAAATACAAAAGAAAAAATAATAATTTCAGATCGTAGCTATATAAAATAACCACAGTGTAACCGAGAACCAAATTCAAAACGAACACGCATTGAAAAAGAAGAAAAGAAAAAAGCTCACGCCGAAATAAGAACACACAGACGAGCACACGGTACAGAACATACAGCACAGCTCTCTGAAACCTAGCTATCAGTAAACATACCGGTTTTTGGAACGCAAGGTAACGTGTATATATAAAATTAACAAGGTTATAAAATACTGATAAAAGATACTTGTTATAAAGACCGTAGCATCTTCTAGAAGTGTCACCATGCAGTAGGTAATTCCAGTCTCCAGTTAATAAACATCAGCAGAAAAATACAAGAAGAATCACAAGCTCATTCCTTGAGTGGACAAGACTCGATCTCGGATAAAAATGTCAATGACGAGAATGCAGAAAGGTATCCGGTGACCTGGTGCAGCGGCGTCAGATTCAATACAGTCTACAAAATGCTGTCATTGAGATGAACGTAGTAACCTGGCGCACTCTTCCTGGAGATCCATCACCAGTGTCTTGTAACATTAGACACATGCAGCAGTTTCTACGAGATCAGCAGGCGAGCAAAATCCTCAGCTGCGATCGCGTCGTTGTTCCGTCTAGAAGTGATAAACTCGGGGGGTTAAAAGCCTTAAATAATCACAAAATAATTTCTTTGCAGGGCTCTGAATCTCACATATTATCAATCCGCCGTATTCCTAGCCCCATGATACCTTTTCAGCGCTATGCTACAGGTGTGTTCCCCTTTCATAGAGATTGTAAGGGACGTATGTGTTGCCTGTCACACCTTAAACGAGATGCGATCGTACCTTTTTGCTTCTACTAGGGACGGTTGGGAGGACGACCGGAAGACGTGGCCTCAGGGGAAATGATCATAGTTGTATGATCTGTAGTAGAGGGCGGAGGTAAGATTCACTCTCTTGCTGATCAGTTGGATGAGAAGATTGACACCACTTTCCTGTCTGTGCACTAAATACGAAGCCCCCCGCCGGCGAACTTAGCTTTACCTTAGCACAAAGACTGTAAACAGGGAGACACAGCTTGCCTGGCTCTTACCTTCTAGCACTAATTAACACGTTGGATCTCATCTGTTGAATCCAAAACCGAAACAAAGGGTTGCACAGATTTTTAAAAAAGGGGCGTTAAATGTGTTAATTAGTGAGCTTTAGAGGAGACTGCTGTACCTTTAGACAGAGCCAAGCTAGCTGTTCACCTCTGTTTTGAGTGTTGATCTTCTCCTCTAACTCTAGTGAAGAAAACAAATGTCTCTTTCACTGGTGAAGGCTGTTCCCACATCATTTAGTTCCCCCAAATCTCACCTGTAGCATATCGTTAACTCTCTCTGGGCTAGGTATAGGGTGAATAATTACCTTGATTCCTCTGAGTATTCTTGCTGATCACTAGAGGTAGTGAACAAGAACATCTTCCTCTTGAAATAAATGTCTAGAATATACCGTATAACATCCATCAAAACATGGATCCCATAATAACAACTGATAAGTTGCTGCTACTTTTATATACATACTGTATACTGCAGGTTACTGTATACAAAATATTAGAAAACTGGATACTGGTTTTAATGCATGCAAGTGTGCAACATAAGCCTTCTACTTCACACAGTATGTTTATCAAAGTAGCAACAGCGGATTATGTCTCACAACACTCTGAGAAACAAAAATAGATATTCTGTGATCCGTGATGGTTGCGAGCGGATTTAAGAAGCGGTTTTGCTACATGCACTGGCATTTTTGGATTCGTACAAAAAGTCACCACCACCGTTTTTTTTTATTTTTGAGCAGTTCAGCTTCATTTCGAAACGGTTTCGTGTTCTTAAAACCTGCTTTGGCGTGGCCGTGCGGGAAAATATGTACAGAAAAAAAAACGATAAGCTTTATAGCAACTGTCAAAAAACCAGTCAAGGTCCGTAAACTCCAACCAAGCCTGGTTAGTCTAGTAGCTGGAGTGTTTGTGAATATATATCTGTGTATGTATGTGTCTGTTTAGTGGTTAACAGTGAAAGCCATAACACTTTTGGCAAAGAATCACAAAGCGCAACAATTACAATGAGAATCACTTCATGGCAAAGACAAAAATGTAGACAAACAAACAAACAAACAAAAAAAGTACAAAAACCTCGAAGGATAACTTCGCCCTGTCTTACATTTTTGTCCAACAGTTGCAAACATCTCTACAATGTACAGCATCACACACAAAGCCTCAGTTTTTGATGGATCAATCATCTTTTTTTGGCACTGCTGTGGCACATGAGTAGAACGCCCTTGATAAGATTTCACACTGAGCTTGACACACTATTATTTCGGCCTCCGTGCTCTCACTGTTGCCGTGGGATTGTGAGTGACACGGTGACTCTAAAGCCCCACGAACTCCCATATATCAAAGCTGTCAGGTCTTGTGTTATTGGTTATATTTCTGTGCCACATCCATACAAATTAAAAAAAAAGTAAGGAGGCATGAAATACAACAACTGGTCGCTGCTGAGAACCTGATGTGAAACCTCAAAGTAAAACATGGTACTGGCATCAGTTGAAGAGAAACTCTGGAATATAAAATCTATTATGATCTACGAGGGAAGTTTATATTGTAAAATAACAGAAACACATTCATGAATACTAATTCAATCCTTCTCAGCCTTAACCCTTTAATGTCCACTGGATGCATGAACAGAGCGTCTGACTCGACTCTTTCCTCCTCTCAGCTATCTTTACACATTAAATTAACTTGTAAATGTATATAAATAACTATATTTATTGATGAATTAATATCAAATGATGCATTTCATTCTTTACCTACATATTGGAGATTAAGAGTCTGCAACCATGCTAACAGTTCTGTGAGCCCTGCAGAAGCATGCTTACAGTTAATTAGCACTAAACGCAAAGTACAACTGAAGCTGAGATACTTTTTCCGGTATCTGTACCATTTTTCTGACTTTTTACTTGTATTCTGTTCATTTTTACACAAATATCTTTACTTTCTACTACTTATATTTCAAAAACAGACTTGTTACTTAAAATTTGAGGGGAATTATCAATTATTCTTATAATTTTTTTGCATAATTGCACTCTGTCCCAACATCAAGGCCGGTGCATATGATGTATGAAAGACATAACATAACAAAAAAAGTCCAAAATTACGTTACACGACAAAGAAAGGGAGAAAAACTTCCTTCAGACAAACCAAGAGAGGACCTAGAAGTACTTCTGTACTTCTACTTTTACCAAATATGAAGAGACTGTAATCTACCTTGTGAACGTGGTTGCCAACGGTCCAACTGCCTGAAGACAATCTTCTAAAAACGGTTCCAGTGGACATTAAGGGGTTAATTAATCAGCTGTTCATTCAACCTCTACGTCTAGTGATCCAACAGGTAAACACGGTGTCAACATATCCATTTATACACATACTGTACAAAGAAAAGACAAAGTCGAACAAATAAAGTCGACTACCAGCTCACTAGCTGCTTCATGGTTAGCTGATTACTGTTCAACATACACGCTCAAGTCCACGCAAACAATGATATCAGCTACTGTATATAGCTAACAATCAATCAATGCTTCATCCTCATTGGTGGTTTATTAACACTGTGCTCCAGTTTTGTTGTTGGCCTCTTTAGCTATGGCACATCCAACTTCATCCTCTCTTTTTGTGGTCATTTGTGGTCACAAAATGGTAATTTTTTTGGCTCTTTTTCTTGTTATTGTCGTAACAAATGTCTGAAAACCGCTAAGATCTCCATATCGGATACCTAACGTTGTCAAACAAACTACCCCTGCAGCTCAGTTAAGAGTCATTACGACTTGCCACAGCAGTAATGGCGGCAGCACGAGATGGCAGAACGCACAAACCGAACGCGGGAGTCGTGTATATAACTAAACTAGTATTAAACGGCTAATAAGGAACAGTTATTATACTTAAATAAATGTTGACTTGTAGGCACTAATACAGCTAATACAATGGCACACATATTACCTCTAAATTCTATATTATTAATAAGTTTGAACTGGCATTCATGAATGTAAAATGTAGCAGTTATTAACCTAAAGTCATCTTAATTGGGTCCAATCAGCAAAATATGGTCACAAAAGTTCAAGAGTGTGTTTGTTAGTCTTCAATTGATGTCAGTGTCACGTATCTCCAGTTCGTCCCCTTAATGTTTGACCGTTACATTTTAATCTCAGAACTAAACAGTAAAATAATCAAGAAGGTTGTTTAATAAAACTTTCCACTCTTCTCAGACTCTTCTAAGCATCTGGATCAGAAAATATTTGGTCTGCTGAGAAATAAAACGATTTAGAAAACCAGATTCTTGGATGTGTGAGTTGAACAGTAAAACATGAGAGAGACAAACTGGAGCTTGTGTCAAGTTCACCAAATCCAACCAAAACCTTTTGGCACCAGTAATATCTCAGAACAACAACTCTTCATTCCACCTTTAAAAGTAGATTTTGAACATCACAGTATTGACCTCGGAGGGGGATTAAAGTTACACAAATATGTGCGGTTTCACCTGGAAGCACTACGAGGCTCCTCTGGTGCAGTTAGGAGTTCAGTGCCTTGCACAAGGACTTGGTCTGTGAATAAAAACCAGCAGCTATCCAGGCCACGTGAGCGTGTGCCTGGATAGCACTACAGTTTCTAACGCTGTCTGTCTGCAAGCTTTTCCCAACTTCAGCCTTGTAATGTTACCTAACGCTCACTTACTGTCCCTCTGTCCGACTGGAAACAATATAAAAAGAGCACAGAGAAGATAGATAGCACCTAAATAGTAGTCGACAACTGCTGCTAATGTTCACCGATGCTAAAGGCATTATAAATGCATCACTGTAGTACAAGACATAACTGTTTCAAACCTGTTGATATGATCGGACTGACATGAGGTGCATTAGTGTAGACATGCTGACTGCTCAAAACTAGCAATTCCAAGACTTTTGAGATAGAAAGAATAAATATATATAGTAACAATTGAACAGTACAATACAAGGCCATGAACGTATTGGAAAATAACCCATGCAAGACACATTTATAAAGATGCTGTACACAAAAGGTGTGTGATCAATTAAATGCCATGTGTGACAAGTTCAAGTAATGGAAAAAAAGGCGCTGACGAAATCAGGAAAACGGACTTGATAGACTTGCGAGATTAGTCCACTAACTGTTTGTCTTACATTCAACGGAAACGTCTTGATAATGACTGTTACTTACAATTTTTAAACACATGGGGAGGAAAAAAATAACTTTAAAAAAAGGACTGAAGGCCCAAAGAGTCCGTAAAACTTGGAATGAAAAGTCTCTGCAATGATATTGCACTTTTGAAATAAACAAAACACAAGTTGTGATTTTTCTGTTCTGGGCTTTTCTGTCACAAAAAAAAGCCTCGGTACTAAAACGTCAAATTGGATGGCCGCTTGGTCTACGCGAGAAATGCCATCAGAGATAAGTTAGATTGTACCAGTGTTGGTTCAATATGCAAAAAGCCGTCTGAAATTCAACTGTTCATCAAATGTCCCGTGTTGTTTTTTCCTGCTGTGGAGGCAAAGCCACGACCAAGGCGATGGCACAGGTTGTTTTGGCAGGACGATCTCCTCTGCTCTCCCTCCTCTTTCTTTTTAATCCTCAAAAGGGTCTTTTTTCCCGCTTAAAATGAAATAAAGTGCAAGGTGTGTTTCCCTTAAAAAGGGGCTCTTTTCCCTTCGTTTCACACCTTTCCACAGAAAGCGTTTTCTTCCAGGTATAACGTGGATTTAGCAGATATACATTCACTCCAAGCACTCCCATTCAGAGCAAGGCTGGAACTAGCAGGACACACTCACTCACACACACACACACACACACACACACACACACACACACACACACACACACACACACACACACACACACACACACACACACACACTCACTCACTCACGCCTGTTCTGCGCTATCAGCAGAAGCACAGCTGCTGTCTCTCGGGGTCACGTGGCACGAGTCTGGCCCGGGCCAACAGACTCAAGTCAGAGGAAGCGTCAGGCAGTGGTGTTGCCGTTAAGAGATGATGTGGCACAGGGGGTGGTGGTTTGTAGCTAGGCTTGGGCCAGACCAGGCCAGGCCGGGCCAGGCCGGGCCAGGGCGGTCCGAAAGGGACTAAGAGAGCGAAGGGTTTGGCTCATCTTTGGTCCCATAAAGCACTTGATTATGTCAGGGTGAATCTTTGCACTCCGCTGGACTGGGAAGGTAGTACGCATGGTAGTAGGGTGGGTGGTTTGGGGGGTAAAAAGGGAAGGGAAGTACTATCAAAAAGCACCGGCTGCTAAGCTACGACCGGAGACATGTGCAGCACAGGCAAAGAGTTTAGTTTTTTTTAAGCCATGCAGTGTTAAGATCGTCCATAGCAACCGGCAGAAAGCGTCTCGGGGAAGTTAGAAATGGTTCTAGTGATGGAAGACGGGAGGCAAGATTTCACACATGAGCGCGCTCACAGGCCAACACAGGAAAGCTCTCAGTAGAGGGAGAGAATAGCTGCTGTTGGCTTTGTAAAAGTCCACAGTAAAGAGTGACAGACAGTGCTGCATGCTCTCCAAAGCACCGGCAAACTGGTGAAGACTTGAGGTGTCAGGGGGAGCGGACCGGGTGGGAAGATTATCCACAGATATAAAAGAGTATACATTATGTGTCAGTATATAGGAGATAGAAACTATGACAAAAAGCTGGGGTTTAGTGTGGAGCTTAAGGAACCGAAATGCAGACTGAGGACAGATAAAGATAAGAGATTTTAACACGACCACCCCTCCCTCCCGCCTCCTCAAGGTGGAGAGACAGACTCGACCTTAAGGCAATGCATAGCCCTTGGAAACATTGGCACATGCATGGAGAGTGCAGAAATGTCTGCATGTGTACTGTAAGTGCATGTATGAGTGTGTGTGTGATTGGATATAACAATATACAGAAAGAAAATAGATTTGATAAGCTAATATTGGCCTTCTCTTAAAAACTGTAGCTCAGTTGTTGATGCAGATTCTGGCTACAAAACCAACTTTTTCTGACGCAAAAACACTAAATAATGGACATTTTTGGTAGAAACGTGTTCAAAGATGTTAAATTCGAACCCCAAATATCATCTATGGACACTTTCCATCCTTTATAAACCTGTGTGACAAAGCTGAATTTAAAGCTAAAAGAAATAAAGGGGGAAAAATAAGAGAGAACAAGCGGCAGAAAAAAAAGACACTGTGAGCTCCCGCTGACGGTTTGAGGACGAAAGCTGAACATGAACGGCGGGCGTGTTGTGTTTCGATCGTTATAACTGTATAAACGATCGCGTCAGATGTTGTTGAGCGTGGTCGAGGTGATGAGGCGCACAGTGAGCGTGCCCGGAAGGTCGTTGTCCTGGCGGTTGCCCTTGTCGCGGAGGTGAAGCGTGTGCTGCTCCTGCCGCTCGTTGGGATCGCTGAACAGGATCACCTGACCCAGGAAGGTGTCCACGATCATGTTCTTGTTGTAGATCTGTTGGCCGCTCGTGGGAGGAAAGGTGGAGATCCGAAAAGTGAAGCGGAGGAGCGGGAGGAGCGGGAAAAGAGAGGAGAGAAAGGAGAAAGGAGGAGGAAAATACACAAAAGGGACAGAAGTTAGTGACGCTAAGAAGCACAGAGAGGAAGAATGAAGAGTACGAAGTGCTGATGTGGAAGAGTTTGTAAGTAAAGCAATAAGAAAAATATAATAAACCTTACTTACACAGCACTGTTCAAAGATAATTAACTTATATAACACTTTATATTTGATTTAGAGAATATAGACTTATATATATATATATATATATATATATGAGTTCACTGGAGGTACAAAAGATAAGATTTGCAACAGGATTGATCTACAACGAGCATCCAGTACAGATAATGTACGTTTTAAAAGTATCAATCGAGCAAAATGTGTCAATATCCAAACCCGTAAATAAAATAAACTTTTAAACTTGTTCTGTAAGTAGTTCTCTTACCCTTGTGTTCAAAAAACATTGCTCTGAAACTTAATTCTATGGTTTTCTAATAGATAAAGCAACTTCTGATCAACCGATATCCATTTCCAGGCTTAAATTAACAACTTCTGGTTAACCACCTACAGTTAAAGCACCCCCCATGTCAGATTTAAGCCCCCGCCCACTGTACAAATACAGATAATGTTGCACTCGCTCATCCCTACAATCTACAATGACACCAGGATTACATGGTAACATTAATCCGATCTGTCGGATGGTGACGATATTGACCTTTTTAAGCAGATTTGGTATCAAACAAATGTCACCAATTTAAATTGAATACAGTTTTCAGTTCCACTCTGTTTACATATACTGTATATAGTAGGTTATCCTGTGTTTATATGGTAGTATATTTATATTTTCTGTATATTTATATGTATAGAGAGAGAGATTTTGCTTATTCTGTGTATTGGGCTATTTTAAATCTTTTGTTATTTGCTGTGTTTATTTATTTCTCTCTTCTGGTGTTGATATGTATATTAATTACTGTTCCCATACAACGCCTGGATACCGTATCATTTAGTCATTTTCTGCACTTTTTTTCAGGAGTTTTGAAACTTTAAATGGACGAAATACGTTTTTATTTCATGATGTGAATCTCTTACATTCAGGAGAACGACTCAGGGAACTTCGCTCTTTAACAGACCGGCACAGGTTAAGTGGTTAGGTGAAGAGATGTAGAAGCTTGTAATTACACTGAGGAGTCTTTTCAGTGTGAGGCCACAGAGGACTGTGAGTGCAGCATCGTCTATCACAGCAGCTCCGGCCTGTTTGTAAGGTTCCCAACAGCAGTTAATCCCGCAGGACGAACTGTCTATGCTACGTATATTACACACCGGGAGGGTGGTAGTGTCGCTTTGAGGTTAAAGCACAGCAGTGGCGCAATCTTATAAACCTTCAAAAACCTTCTACTAAAGCCTGTTTGTGCATGAACGTCACTTAAGAGTTAAGATCTGCATTTACAGCCTCATATTGGCTCACATATATCTTAATCCATTCCACACAGATTTTTTACATTTTGAGGGAGAAGAGGCACTCAGTCGAGAGTTTTTGGGGGGGCTAAGCTTGTCTACAGAGCAGCAGATGCACACTCCTGCTTCCTTTCACCGAGATACAAATGATGCAATTTCACAGGTCTGATTGAGTCAGTGCAACATCACATTACCAACAATAATTCCCTAACAAGTACACCGGCTTACACATATTGCCTGATATTGAGCCTGTAATTGATTGGTTGTGGATGTTCGGCAAATTTCCTTAGCAGCCCCCCGCTCTCATGTGATACAGTCTCACACACACACATACAAGGAGGATGAAGGGAAATTGGATGCAAAAAAGGCAGGTGAGAAATATGTTGTCAGGGGATCAGGAGGTGAGAAGAATAAAAATAAAAAGAGTGATTCAATGCTGGGACAAAGACAGCCTGTAGTTATATAAAGAAAGAACTTTTCCCTGGGACGAACTCAGGAATTTATTCTACATTTTCGACAACAGGAACTAAAGATTAAATTTAGTTTCAGGTGAAAAAAAAGGTTCAGGAACTTTAAGGGTGGAGCTGCTGAACATCTCCGATTGGCCAACTACAAATTCGGTACCACTTCTTTCACTTAATAAGGAAGTACGTGCATGTTTAGCATGTTTTTAAATTGCTCTGATCTTTGAGGAACCGGTACCGAAGTCAAGGTATCAGCACCGGTATTGAGACTTTTAGAGGGATACTCAGTCGTAAGTACTCAAACCTTTGATGTGTTTTGATGTCAGAGACTTCACTGTTGTCATTATCGAACACTTCCCTAAACTCCTGTGGAAGTTCTCGAGGAGGAGGTGAAAGGACAGAAATATTAAAACCTAAACAAAACCAAAATTATCTGCCTGAATAGACACCGCTAGAGGTAATTCAGAAATGATTAATGTATCTGAAATTTGGGTGAACTGACCCTTTATAAGCCAGGAAGGGAGAGGTCTTTTAGGTCAGAATCGACTAAATCGAATAAAGGAGCTTCAGCCTCCATTAAGAAAGCTTTGAAGTTGGATATTCCACGGCTAAAATCTATTACAGTTTATTTAATTGACAGTGTTTTTAACCTTTTGGCAACAGCAGCACAATAAAAACATAATGCTGGAAACTGTAATCACTGTCTCAGATGGCTGGTCCGGTCCCTTTTGAGGACATTCACAGGACCTGAACTGCTGCATTGTGGTCGGAGGCGTCATGAACGTGTGGTTCAATCGGTCCTCGTGGTTCAGTCCCACAGGGGGATGGATGCGGGGAGTGACAGCTCACCTCGATGTGGATTCCCTCCTTGGGTTTCTTGCGGTAGAACAGGCCTTTGATGTCAAAGTTCGGGCACCGCGTGTCCTTGTGAACCGGTGAACGAACCCTCTCTCCTTCACAGGTGATGATCACGTAGGGATCTACAGCTACAGGAAGAACGAGTCAGATTGTGCTGATAACAGACAGTCTATATCAGATTGTACGCACTCATTAGGGGATGAAATTATTCTCCCCTAATATCATTTTCATCATCAACACGTCTCCAGGTTGTACATTCAAAAAAGTCCTTGCACACCTCATCACACTCACCCCTCCTGTCCATTATCTGACACCTTACAAACTTCCACATTATTCTGCGTCTTCATTAGCTGTAACCGCAGTAAACAAGGCTATAAACCCGTATGACACCGGTGCAGAGTGCAGAGGATTTCACTGATTAATGAGGACCAGGAGAACTCACCTGCACATACACTGCGAAACTCTGTAAACAACAAACACTTCTCCCTACCGACAGGCTGCACAGTGCTGACGGGTTTTTAATGACAGGTCGGTTAATCATTTTGCCAGAGGGGCTTAATTACTGAAGAGCCTTTAACGACACACTGAGACTTCAATGTGTCCTCTGGATAAGTTTGCAAGCGATTAACAGCAACAAACTCTTGAAGAAAACCAAAGACTCCTTCGCACTGTCCATCACTTCATTAAACGGGATGTTATTAACACATCCAAAGTTCTCACCGAAACATTAATAAAGTGAGTACAAGTGGTGGACAATGTGCAGAATTCATTGTTCTCTTTATTATCAATTAATCTGCCAATTATTTCCTCATCTTGTGATCTTTGAAATGTCTGAAAATAGTCGAAAATGAACAATTTCCCACAGGACGAGACACCAACTTAAGCTCCATAAAAACAGCATGTATAAATATACAATCTGTAACAGTAACTACAGTTTCTGCCTATGAAAGAACCTGAAACATTCCTGCACTCTGTCCATCACTTGTTCTCACTTCATGAACAATGATTCAGTTATTTACTTTAATTGGAGGTGCTCAGTACAGGGTTTTGTTAATTATAAGAAGAGCTCATTGACTTTAATTAGGTTCTGCTGGCGCCCTCTGATTGGAGCTATATTCTTTTTAAATGGTACTGCTGCTCTTTGTCACCTGATATGTTGTTAATAAAGTACCAGCGATAGACAGAATGCAGTTTTTGTGTTTTTCAACCTCATTTTTCAGTCTCTTCACCTCTACTACAGTTCATCACATCAAGTAAATCAACAGCGGTGGAAAGTACATTCACTTAAATACTGTACTGAAGTACACTTTTACTTTTGAGGTACAGTCTGATTTTGTTTCTACTCCACTACATCTCAAAGGCAAACATTCTACTTTTTACTCGACTACATCCATCTGACAGCTGTAGTTACTGGTTACTTTGCAAATCAAGATTTTACATAAAAACACATGATAAGCTTATTAAATATATTGTTAAAGATTAAACCAGTGGTTCCTCACATTTGTGGCTCTTGTTGTTTTAATTTCACGGCAGCTTTTTTTCAAATCTCTAATAAATGTTACACGTTTTAAATTATGGGAGAAAGTGAAAATTGCAACAACAAAAAAAAAAAAAACATGATTAATTTATTAAAAATCTAAGGTAACTTTTTCGAGTGAGGATAAATAATAAATAAATGTGATATGTTTAACCAAAGATACATTTCTCCTCTAAACGTCTCACATGGTTTCACCCAAATAAAGTTAAGAGGTAAAATTGTACAATAATTCACAGTTTTTTCTACTTTTCTCTCCTGTTAATCTTCTGAAACAGATTTATCTTGTGGCCCTTCGGAGGGGCCCGAACCTGAGGTTGGGAACCACTGGACTAAACTTCCGAACTGTATGTGAAGTAGTTAAAACTTGCTCCACCTCACAACAGTAAAACGCTGTTTACACACTGATGCAACAGTATTAATAGTTAATGGTTTAATTAATGAGAATATATTACTCTGTACTCTTAAAGTACATTCTTTACTTCAACTTAAGTAAGGTTTTTTAATTGTTTCATTTGTACTTTTACTTCAGTATCAGAGTAGTTGAGTAGTTCTTCCACCACTGCTGCTCTCTCAGCAAAGGAATCTCTGTATTAAAGCCACTATCATGGAGGAAATTAACATTTCTGACTTTGGCGCCACCCGGTGGACAATGTGGCAGTCACCGCAGCAGCCTGGTGTCGGATACTGCACCGATTTTCACCGGGATTGTCTCATTTTTAAGTCATGACATCTGAATAATTCACTATAAATCGCTATACAGAATCTATACATAGTGGCTTTAACGGTGAGCGAGTTGTAAAAGTTACAGGTTTGTGCACACAATGTAAGAGCTTTACAGGGGTTTGGGACTACATACTGCAGGCTACAAACTACATAAAGAACTAGAGTTTCAGCAGATGGTGCTGTGGTACCTCGTGCTTTGCTCTGACGTCTTTCCTTATTGGGATTGAGGCAGTGAAGCTCTGTGGGTGTTCACAGGAGTTCACAATGCTTTAAATACAGGAACATGTAAAATACACAAAGTCAAGACTGGATAAGCTCTTCTGCACACGGTGTAGTGGTCCTACCTCCATTGGAGTCTTGTCCCTGCAGACCCTCAGCATTCAGTACATGGACCTGAGTGACCAGCTGAGGGTAGCCACACATCCCCGTCCAACATGTCTGAGGAGGCTCGTCCAGAGTCAGCTCTCTGGGAAACAAAGAGTGTACTTTTTACATTAGTACCTTCCAACCACTGCTTCTTTAACAGTGTACAAGAGGACCTAATTAATATGCAGTGACACCGACTTAACTACAGAACATAATTCCTCGTCCTGAGAGCTGAAATGAGAGCAAAAACTTTGTGAAACACTCCTCTGGGAAATGAAGTCAAGCAGGAGTAACTTGTGCATGCAAACAGCAAAACAGCTGCCTTAAAACATCAGTCAGGTGGCTGTAGAGTACGGACACTGAAACAGATTCCTGTTCATGCTGGCTTTAAGCAGGTTTCCACTCAAGGACTTTTTCCAGGACTTTTTCTTGACAATACAGGACATCACTTTCTCACAAGTGGTCACAAAAGTTACCGGTAGGTCAATTATTGACACATTCACAGTTTTATTTCTCCTTTTCTAATGATGAGCGGTTCATGATGCAGTGATGCAGGTTCAAGGTAGTTGGTCAGTGTTTATGGGTTATGGATTTTTCTGCAGCATCTTCTGTAATTTGACTACAGTTTACTACAGTTTCCTCAAACCCAGGTTAACGTAGGCGTAGATCTGAGTAAGGGGCTAAAATACAACATTGATTATTTCCAGGATATTTGGTCATTTTAATCATTTTCCAGGTGTTTCCAGGACTGGAAAAACAAGTCTCTAAATATCCAGATTTTCAAGATTTTCATTTTCTAACATCTTCATTCTGTGCATATGAAGTTTATCTATTAATATGAGGCTTTATTAGTCTGAGTTTCCTTCCCCTCAATCTTTTGGGATTGTGTATATTTTGGATTTACACCTTATTGATATTTTATATCTCCACTGTTTCCTATGTTGTGATGCAACTGCTTGCACAGCTAATTCCCTCTGGATAAATAAAGTTTTATCTCATCTTATCTTATGTGTAACATGAGAGACCTTGAGCAATGTGAGTTTTTTTTTACTATATATGAGTCCACTTGACACAAGTTGTTTTATTGACTCTTAGTAATAAATGCTGTGAAAATTTGCCCTGAGAGACAAGCAGACATACATTGTACAGACATAAATAAATCCTCTCTGCAAACATGTTGAACATTTGTTGAAATGAAACCTGCAATTCCATCTATTGGACATTTTATGGTGCTAAATTGGTTGTAAAACACTGACTAATACACTCAGCGAGCAACATAACTACCAATCTTGTATCAGAAATTGTGTCATCAACCTTTGTACATAATGTGTGATTGTGTCCCTCCTGTTAGGCTCCTGAGGTTTCTTCTATTTTCCAGTTTTTCTTTACTTGAATCGAGACTGTTGAGTTTTATAAAGACTGTAAAAGGCCGCCTGAGGAAAACTGTGATTTGTGATTTTAGTCTGTATATATGACCTGACTTGACATAGGTCTGACTCGAAAAACAAAAACAACATCAAACCCTGTCCGGGAGCTGCGCCTTGTCACCGAGCAACACGGACCTTTTCTCTCGTAACACAGGGAGTCACTGTTGGAAATAGTAACTGTACTAGCTGCTGCCACTAGCCAGTAAGCGGTCCTATTAAATGTCTGTACCTGGACTTTGGAGCTGAAAGGAGTTTAAACAATGTATGTATAATGTTACACATCATCCAAGGCCAAGAACATTCGCTTTTGTGAAGTTAGAAGTTAATTATTCTCTGTTTTGAACAACGAGACGTGTCTGATGTTACACTTTTCAGTCTCCTTGCTGGTTGTTTTGACACATTGCTGCTTTTTTTTAAGCATTTAACAATCGGCTCTTAAAATACATATATTTAAATAATTGAACTAATATCATAAACATGTGAAGATTAGTCGACTATTGGCTTTAACTAACAAAGGATTTATAAGGAAAATCTTTAGTCGGGGACAGCCCAAACTACACTTATGATGAGTCTGAGTCGACCAGTACATACTTGTTATTCTGTTCCTGCTCAGACAATAAAATAACATCAAGGAGCTACAAACTTATACAGTTATATATATAAAGAGAGCGTGCACACTGCAGCTAGACCTACAATATGTGACTTTATTGTCTACTTATGGTGGAGGATCACTCAAAGGTTCAAAGCGGCCTAAAAAACTCTGCAGCCGAAGACTCAAATTTACATAAATCTGCTTTCCAGGAGGTTCAAACTGTTAGTCTTTGTGTTCAGTGATAAGATATCAGATTTACTTGCAGTCTGAAGGCACATCAGTGAAGACACGGAGCAGGAAGTCGCCCTGCTGCCCGGGGTCAAAGGTTGTGGGAATGATAACGTAACGGCCCTCCTTTAGCTCCTTCCTGAGGAAGACGCAGCGCGAGTTGATGTAGATGGAGCCCGCTACTTTCTGCTGGGCTGAGTGCATACGGTACTTCCGATTTAGCTCCACCTGCAGGATGAGAAGACATTATAGCAGTAGTTTGTCCAGCTGAGGGATTTGTTAGTTTATGAACTGTTAAAGCTCTGTGGAGGCTTCTTATTTGTGAATGGGTGTGTTTCTACCCGGTGAATATCAAAGCCTATGGCGAGGTTTTCCCCTTTGCCCTCTTTGGGTGTGGCTCTCTTCTCTTTTTGCTGCAGGCAGATCAGCACCTCATCCTCCAACTTCTTCACATCAAACACGTACTGGGGAGAGAGAGGAGGAGACACTGTGTCAACACTGGTCACACTGGCTCTCTATAAACACACAAGTACACAAACAATACCACGACCAACCTGAGGGTTCTGCAGAAAGGTCGCCTTGTGATTGATGCAGCCTCCGGACCGGTTGCGAAGGGGGTCCTGGCGATGGACCCAGGAGCCCCTCATCACCTCCTCCTCCCAGGTTTTGTGGATGCTCAGGTAGGAGGTGTTGATGAGGCGGCACATGATCAGGTCAGTGAAGTACTGGCAGAAGTCGTCGAACGTCATCCTGCAGGAGGGCAGGAAAAGGAGAGGAGAGAAGAGACCGGAGAGAGTGGATACCAACTAGAGGGAAAAGCTTGAAAGAAGAAGACCTTCAACAGGTACAAAAATAGAGGAAATGAGATCAGGAACAAAGAAAAGGGTTACATGTTAACGGGAGACTAAGATTTCTGGTGCTGACATGGAATCTGATTAAATTTTGACCAATGTGAGCTTTTAAAAAATGTCATAACTTCACCATTTGACCGTTTTAACGCCCCAAAAATCTACAAACATTCAGTGTTTTTTATTCATGTTAGTGTAGAAAAAGCCTTTTGTAAAGCAATAGTTTTCCCTTTTGGGAAATACATTTATTCTCTTTCTTCCTATTAGATCAGAAGATCAATACCACTCTCATGTCTGGAGACTGGAGGCAGAAGGGGAAGAGCTAGCCCTGCTCTGCCCAGAGGTAACAAAATCCAACCTCCCACAACCCCTAAAGTTCATTAATTAACAGGCAGAAAAGGAAGTCACTGCACATGCCAAAACCGTCTTTATATGGATTAAACAAACATTTAATGTTTTATTATCTATCTTTGAGTTGTAAGTGTGTGTGTATGTTCTACCTAATGTGTTTGTTTGAATGCCACACTGTAAAGCACATCTAAGCTGCATTTCATGTATGAAAGGTGCTATATAAATAAAGTTATAGTTAAAGTTAAATTATTATTATTACTTCCCAACTGTTCCTTTAATAGCCCCCCGATTAGCCCTGAATGTCAGTTCAGGTGAGTGGCTCCATACAGGACAGTATGAATCAATTAGTCAATATTTTTTTTTACCATGCCAGCACCACCAAAATAAAGGGAATAACAACATTATTAGTACTTAAATGGTTCTCACCAGAACTCGCCGTCGTCCTGCACGGTGACACCAAGCTTTTCTCTCTCGCTCTTGCTCACCTTGTTCCACTCCTCCGAACTGCAGCGAGCAAAGACAGAAGAACAGCATCAATCTGAGAAACTACGAGACAAAGAGTTCCTGTATCTGATGTTCATTGTCTGATTTAAATTCTATAAAAGCTCCTGTCACCTGCCAACTTTTGGCTGTATTTTATTTAGGAAAAGTCTTCATTAAAAGCAACTTTATACAAAGTTTTTTTTTGTACCTTAAGATAATAGATTAACTCTCATTTGTATGCTACACTGAGTTATAATAGGGTGAATGGTGCCTCTGTTTACATAACGCTTTATGGCACTAAGTCACACGCCACCAACTATGTCACTGATTTTGGTGAAACTGGATCATATTTTATAGAAAACATTTTTTTCTGGTTTTCCCTCTGATCTCCTCCAGCTGCTCTGTGTTTCCAGATAGACAGTAAAGTTACTGCTGCGAAATGAGGAGTGAAGAATGCTGGTTGCGTCAGAACCGGCCAGTGTAACGGGGCTCAGCAGTTTCTATGGACATACAAGCTCAACAGACGTAAGAGGACGTTGATGGAGGAAGCTAAGAGGAGGAAAAGAGAGAGAACCCGCCGGAGCTTTGTGAAATAAAAGGCTGCAGACAGACAATGAGCTGGGCCTTCTTGCTGTTGGACTAGTCAGTAACATTAGCTGGCTTCCTCTGTCTTGTGTTGCACTTAGTTGATGTTTGGCTGAAAATATTTAAAAACGTTCTTTTGTGATACCGTATCGATTCTGCTAGATAGCAGTGCTGTAAGCTGAGGGATTATTATGCTGGATGTTACAGGAACTGTTATAAATACAAAAGCAGCACCCACTGTTCTGGTTGCCTAAAAAAACTTATATATAAAATATATCACTGTGCTTACAGTATCGCAATATATTGACTCGTAACCCCTGTATCGTGATACGTATCTTAATTATTGTCGATACACAGCCATAGAAAAGTTGTCAACTCGCTAGTTATTAGTTCTAGTCGCTAGTAATGTGATCATAGCAAATGTACAGCTGTCCAATGTACGACAGTGGTACTGCAAGTGGGGACACGACATCGCAACAAATACTAAATCTTCCATATTGTTGCTTTAATACGATGCCTTTATATGAACATCAGTGAGAAGATCGGCTATTTCTGTATACTTATTGTTAAAGCCTGCCACCGGGTCGGATTCAGTAAGATTCCCCTTGAAATCAATGAAAGGAGGAGGTAGATCCACTACCGCTTTTGTCCACAGGGGCCGCCAGAACCAACCCAGAATGTCAGTTCCTCGTTGGGGCTTTAATAGTGGCACATTTAGCTGTGAATCTTTAAATAGATCATAGTAAGTGTGAATTTAAATTCTCAGTAACTGTATTAAGCTGAGATAAAATAAATGATGCATGTGTCTATCCCTCACGGGGCTCTACGAAACTCTTCATGTGTAGTTGTGAGCGTGAATCATAACCTAAACATCAAGGTCCGTTCTGTATTCACAGGCTCCGGGGGAAACACGGGGCATTTACTGGATGCATTAGCTCTGTGTTTATGTCTCACTATTTACGATTCACTGACAAACGTCCACATCTCAACAGTCTGTCAGACTCCATTTACAGTAACAGGTTTTTATCAAACCATGAATAAATTATTCAGTGAAAGCGAGTGAATGATTGAGAAAGAGGAGAGATGACTCACGTCTCTTTAATAACATCTTTCTCTCTTTCAGGCCTTATCAATAATTCAGACTCCATTATGATCCTGCTTTACCACCTCCCTGTTTGTTTCACAGAGTCTGGTCGCTAACAATCCAAAAGGCAGAGAGATGTCGAGGGAGCAACGTTATCTCAGCGCTGCCCATTCCCCTAAGAAATGTCCGGAGGAGTAAAGCAGAGAGGAAAAAATGAAATGAAACACTCTTTTCTAGGGAGAAATAACAGCCTTGTCCATCTGATTGAATTCCCACTTGTGCAAACCAGTCATTTTCATTCACCTTGAGGTTTGAATTGAAGGGTTAGTCAGCTCAATTTGGGAGTGTCTGTTTTGGGAGGGTCCCGGGGAAAATGATACCTGATCCTTTACTGCACCGTGTGATATTGCTCTCTAGAAACAAGCTCTAACGGGGCTGAATTCAGCCATTCGTCTTTGCTCTGTGGCCCATTAGCTTGATTGCTTATCCATTTTTCAATGTCTACACGACATTTCTCATTGTGCAGCTTTCTTGTCTACGTTGTGGGCATTACATAAGGGTCGCTCTCTGTCCAGTGGTTGGTTGTTTGCTCATTCATCACATGCAGTCCCTCTAGAAATTTTGCGAGACGAAAGGGACCAGTTGACTTTGTCGTTTTTAAAATTAAATTAGTGAAATTGGTTGGATTGGTACAGGTCACAACAAGGTCACGTACGGAAGGACAAAGGACATTGTTGGTGTTGCTCTGGAAATGTTCCACGTCTGACTCACCAAGATCACCGTGCTAAATTGGAACAGATGGATGAAAGAAGGCTCAATGAGACAGAGATAGGATTTGATGAGCGGCAGTACTTCATCCACGCCTGTAGGCGGCAGTGTCGTGGTTACCTGTCGCTCCAGGGGCCGCTCCACTCCTTCTCTCCCCAGGGGTTCCTCATGCGGATCATTTGCAGCTTTTCCGATTTGAAGAAGGCCAGCAGTCCGTGACCTAGCCGCACTTTCCGAACGTCCGTCACAGCGTAGGCGTGACCTTTGACCAGACCACAGTCCAGCCGTGCCTCCATGTCCTCTATTGTGGTTGCCTGGGAAACGGCAAAAACAGGGTAGTTTAGTGGCTGAAAACAGATGCGTGTGTGGATGTCTAGAAATCTGTAAAAGAGGGAGGCTGTTACAGTAGGTTTTAACGTTATACGATGTTCGCAGACCCCTGGATCGATCTAAATGTACCAGTTGATAGTCTGATTCTAAACTTATGAATCGGTTGACTGAAGCTTTGCTGCTAACAGCGCCTCCACTCTCGTTTGGAGGTAAAAGGTCAACGCCAGTGTTGTGCAACAAGCGCAACGGGAGCAACGTTAGTGCAGCGTAGCTTGTGAGTTTTGGTACAGTATCGTAGCTCTAGATTTGTATTGGAATTGTCTTAAAAGGGAGATTTGCACACCACTATTGGCTAGTGTTCGTTCACCTATTTTGGTCCAATTCAGGCACTGGGCATTGCTTTATTACCACATTGGTCTTTAAACTTTAAATAAGAGAGGCTACTGGAAAACTCTCTTGTGTGGAACAGCTTGTGCATCCATTTTGCATCTTGTAGAGCCGCCTAAAGGTCTCATAAACAGGCAAAGTTGCCTGGGAAACCACACACACACACACACACACACACACACACGCACACAGGAAGATTTTCAGTGAGTGTATGTGATTAAGCAAATAACAGTGATGTGACACTTTCAAATTTGAGCAATGCGCCATTTGTGAATGAAGAGCTTTGGATGGTAAAAGGAAAAGGGGACGGAGTCATTAAGCAGCGTTATCAGAAAATTGGTTGTTCGATCCAGTAATTATGTGTTCAGTGCACTTGGCTTTTTTTGTGACACATTACAGTGCAAATTTCATACATTACTATCCTGGCAACAGCTGAGAGTCTGATTAATATGGCACACAGGCAGTCGAGCACACAGGAAATATAGATGTACTATTAAATTGAGTTCTAAAACACTGGTTTGTCCAAATAGGAGCTGTGAGAAGGAATACTGATCCCCAGACTCCCCAGAGTCTCGTACTCCTAAAAGACCTGCTAATGGGAGTCATGGTGGCTCAATGTTCTTTGTGTACACCCTCGAAAGTTATACTCTGATTATATTATACTATCCCAATGATACCGTGCATGAATTATGGGAGCTACCTCCTGATATCCCCTCCAAAAGAAAACTGGTTTACAGTGCAGATTGTTACAGTTATTGTGTGATAGTTTTCTCAACAAACAAATGGTTTCCTGATGAGTTTATGGTCTCAGTCTCTAGTTTCAGTCTTTTTCCATACAGCATGATGTTCATTTAGTAACTGATGGTCCCATTTAGAGTAAAATAGACCATAAAGCAGGGTATGCTTTAGGGCGGGGCTACCTTGTGATTGACAGCTCATTCTCAGTGAGTCCGTCCAGCTCAACGCACCAAACTCAGATCAAACTGTCAAACTAGGCAGTGCTGATCAGATATGAATCCAGATTATATTACTGTGTTGATTATTTCTCTCTTAAAATCTGTTCATATTTTAGTGTTTATCTGTAATAGGAGAATGTGTGAGACCAGACGAGCGAAGCCAACGTTTGCAGCTCAACTCGCAGTACGTCATCGCTGCTAAAAAACAACAACATTGCGACAACCATAATGCCGAACTCGAGACTTCAAAACGGTATTTCAACAAACCAATGGGTGACGTCAAGATAGGTTCACACTTGGCTCCAACTGTAAGTCCCATAACACTACAGGAAGAATTAACTGGATTTTTACTTCCAGAAACTGGAGGTAAAAAAGCTCCTTTTACTACTCAACTCTATTAGAGTCTGTTTAGGTTAACCCAAAGTTTGGATCAGAGCTATTTATCTTTGGGTTTCCCTTTTGATCAAGTCTTTCTCTTTTGTAAATTCAATTCTGCATGTCAGGTTTGGTTGGTCCAGATTGTGGACCCATAAAGACTTGTAGCGGACCCACACAGAGCCTTTCTCTCCTATTAATACCCGCCTGATTTTCCTTTAGTCTCTTCCACGGAAGAATAAAAACTGAAATGAGAACACAAGTAGACCAGCTTCAGGTCTCACAGAGGATATGTGTGGAATTCATACATCTCCAAATAACAATTTAAGATTGTGAAATACAAGCTAAAGTAATAAGAACAATTCATAAATGTGGAAAATGCATTTTTGTATGCTATTGGTTAGATTGTCTGAGCTCTCATTACTCTTGCAGTTGAATAATAGACCCTCCAGTGTAAAAACTCATGCATATAAAAGAGCCATATCATTTAAAAACTGAACTGCACCTGACACTGAATCACAATATGTGCTTGTGAATTAGTTTTTGCTGGAGCGAGACATCGGGGAATAAGACTGGCGTGAAACAGAAGACCAACGGCCAAACAATGAAATCTATAAAGCAGCACACGCTTGTTTTCCTAACAAGCCGACACGAGTTCAGATACCGATGAAACACCTCTGCAGGCAAGTCCAGGACCGCTCTGCCTTGAATCCTAAAGCATCATTCATTAAGCTCTATTTGAAAACAGAAAGTAAAACTGAGACTTCACTATAAAACAACGTCGTCCACTGAAACACAGCTCTTCATGCTGAGAGCTCCTCGGTTCTCTCGGTTGACCCAAAACAATCAATGTGGATAATTTCAGAGATGATTTGCGATTTAGATGCAAGAAATGTTTGAAAAATGCAAAAGAGCTTTGTGTCTAGGGGGTTCAGTTTTAGGTCACACTAGCTAGAAGCAGAAGAGGGTGTAGAAAGTGAGACACTACAGCTGTAGTTGCTAAGTTTTTATTGATACCAGGGTCATTATCGATTCTGCTTAACAGGCCGATTCTTTAGCGATTCCTTTAATGATTAGCAGTAGCTGAAGCAGCAGTCTGTCTGTCATCATCTAAAATGGATGAAGTGAGAGAATATTACAGCATTTGTTTTTATTTGGGTTTTCAAAGTCAAAGACAAAATCTGCTAAGCCTGCCTGCATGTTATTACATATACATACACAATACTTTCAATAGGTTTATTATATTAGATTTTACTGTAATAAAATCGTGTATATATTTTAGTTATATTTTATGTATTTTGTTGTCTCATTACGTTTGTTCCTCTCCGCCATGACTTCTTCTTGTTTCCAGCAGCGTAGACGCATGAATTTGGAAACCTCTTCCAGCTATCTCAAGCTCAAAGCAACAGACATCATACTTTAATTGTTTTGTATGTGTATTGTTTACCAAAGGCTCACTCACTCACTCACTCACTTTTTTCATCTTCCTCATAAAAGTGCTCTGGTTTCTAGAAAATGTAAGCCTCACCACACTGAGTGGGTTCCTCTTGAACCCTTTTTCACTTATATTTTCCATTATCCTGGCATTAGGACGTGTGCTTCCCTGTAAGAAGTACCTACAACAATACCCGGCCTTTGTGCAAACATTTTGGAAAGGGCAATATCATCAAAACGGACAAATCAAAAGTGGATGCTATTCATCTGTGTGTTCCTCACGTAATCTCACACAAATTACTGCACAGCACTGGAGAGCCTTTGAAAAAGTTGCAGTAAGAATTAATGCAGAGATTTGCCACAAAAGAAGGCTGCTATCTGTGCTACGAGTATAGCATCAAATAACAAAAGAAGTTCACTCGTAAAGAGACGGTTTAGACTTTACTCCTTATAAAATGATTTACAGAGACCCAACAATTCCCACATGCAGTGAGCGTTTCCACAAAGTCAGCCGCAACAGGATTTTTGAAATCATAGCTGAAAATGCTTTAATTATTAAAGAGAGAGAACAACAGCTGTAGAGCCAGAATATTTTCACATCTAACTGAGGTGAAAGGGGTTTATTTCAGATAGTCTGACGACAGGGAATACAGCGACAAGGTGATTCACAGAGGCTCCAACCAAGACTCTCAAGGCCTGGAAAGCAGAGGTGTGAAGCCAAGAGATCTAACTCGGCTAGACGGTTAGAAACCAGAGTTGTTGGAACAGTGGAAGGACTAATAAAGATGGTTTGGATGAGTTTTAATTGTGTTTTAAGATGAGTTAACTTAGATAGGTATAATAGAGAAACTGTAATTCAGAAGGTGAACGTTGTGTTTTTCTATTTAGGAAAAAAGCTGTTTTTATTTTATTTGCTTTACATTTGTTGAGTTTATTTTGTAATTAAAGCTATAAAAGATTGTTCTATGAAGCAAACTCGCCACTCATCTCCCAGTGGGACTGCTGATATAGAGCATGTGTGAATAGCTGGACTGACAGTGGCCAGCTGGAAAACTTTCTCCCGACTCTTCAGCGTACCCTGATGGAGCAGCTGATGAGACCGTCTCTGTTGTGGACTTTGAGGACTCTTTCAAACAGCTGGTTGCGAGCCACCTCGTCTGTTGCCATCTGACCCTCCAGCAGGTCCACGGGCTCCGAAACACCACCCGTGAAATCCACCAGCGCATCTGCCGTGTTTCCCCCATCCAACGCCTCATAGCAGCCGTAAACTCTGCAGGAAGAGGACGAGACTCGGGTTATGTTTGTTAGAGCAGACAATCATTTTGATAATTGTGTTCAAGCAACTTTGCAAATTATTTGCAAGATTTTTTGCTTTTCTCAGTTTTATTTCATAGTAAACTTAATATATAATATGGATAAAAGACGACATTTAAAGACGTCACCTTGGAGTCACATTTTTCATTATTTTCGTTTAATTTTTTAGACAAAATTATCAATCAATTAATCAAGAAAAGAACTGTCACGCTTGTGCATATCATCATCTAGTCATCTATTGTCTGAATGCTGAAAAGACAAGTCTATGCGCCGCATTATGCTTTGTCTGTTTGTTTAAGAATGAGAGGTGTTATAAAAAGTGCTTTTCAAAGTTTCTACATGTGTAGGCAGAAGTTTGATATAATTTAATCCAATACTGAGTTTTTAGGTCTTCTCTAAAACTGGATCTGTGTGTTCGTTGGCACTGATACTAACTTGGCATAGGCCTTCTCCACCAGAGCGCTCCAGAACTCGTTGCTGTCGTTGGAGTGGCAGTAGACCAGCTGGTTGTCCACCGTCGGTAGCCGGTCGTCAATCACCACGTCCACCCACTCGCCGAAGCGCCAGAAGCGGAAGTGGAAAATTCCAGCGTACGATTCCGGCTTCTCCGTATCCCACTCCTGCTCCTTCCAGTCGGGAATGACCTGGAGGAGGCAGAGGACAGGGGGAAGAAGAGCAAGAGAGGAAGGGGGGCAGGTAAGCCAAACAAACAGGCGGTGGTCCATGGAGCATAAATAATGTCAAGGTGGAGTGGACTGCCAGAGTGAGACAGTGTACCCTCATGTCTGCTGATGCATTTAGGATTAAGGGGACAAATTTATCACCTTGGCTCTCTCAGTCATAAATCCATGCTGTAATAGGACATGGGTGAGAGGTAATAACTGTTTGTTGTGTGTGTGTGTGTGTGTGTGTGTGTGTGTGTGTGTGTGTGTGTGTGTGTTTCAGCTGCCCGCATTTGCTGTGGTCCAGTGAAGCCCCTAAAACACAGCCTCCATTTTGTGAACTGTAGTTAGGATTTTTTGACGAGAGGCAAAGAAAAACAAACAACAACAGATTCATATAAAATCTCAAAACACAAACAGAAATGGACACATATTGGTAAGTCCTATAATAGATCAAATAATAACACGCATTCACCCTTTATCTTTATAATAAAAACTCCTTATGACTACTTTTAAAATTGCTGACTCGATGAGTTTGTATTGCAGTCTCGTCTTTCCCTCGTGGGACAGAATGTGTATAAAAGCAACAACAACTATTAATAATTGACAACACAGCTTCCTGACCTTTTTGGCGCCAAGGTCAAGTGTGTAGGACAGAGCTGTCAAAACTGGCCAAAAGAAAATCACACCGGTTCAACCTTTCAGCCCGCTGTGTCCGTAAACCAATACATAACCGTCTACTGACCATAAGTCGTGACCCTCTCGGACGTGCTGCGGTCAGTGTGTCATTTCCAGTTGAGTGCTTCTGTGTCGCTGTTAGTGTATTTTTGCTGCTCTAGCTCAGTTAAATTTGTTATATTCTTCATTACAGCTTATAATTACCTGATATACATGTACTCTAGTTCTCCTCAAGCACTCATAGCTCTCTCCTTTTAGGGACTTTGGCTTTAGCTTAGCAGTTAGCAGTGTCTTCTCTCTCCTGATCTCTGTTGTTCGGTGACATATGTTTAGCTATTCCTCTGCCTCCTTTAGTACCACGAGGCTTTGGAAGCGTCACACCATGGAAGCTAAATCGTTAGTCTCCACTCTTGTTAGGATTAGTTGCTGTTGAGTTACTCGTCATCTGTTCCAAGCGTGTAGGACAAACTACAGTGGCCACAAACTCTCAAAAAACCCTGAAAGGCCTTATCTAGAGCCAGTGTTGGGTTTGTCTGTTCTGGGCTACTGTAGAAACACGGCAGCTCAACATTGCGGACTCCGTAGAGGAGGACCTGTTCCCTCTGTAGATTGAAATGCTAACAGTACTCCTAACATTGTCGAGTTTCTGCCCACCTGATGAATGAAACCACCATTTGCTCTCCTTTCTGCTCCGTTTTGGTCTCCAATAACTCCAGAATCTGCCTCTTTAGCTGCAGCTAGATGCTTACTTAGTGTATCTGGAGAACAGGTAGCGTACAGTGGCTTTATCGGTAACATTTTCTGCATGTTGTCACGTCATGTTGTGCTTGCTCTTTAAAATGTATGAAGTGTTGCTTTCCCACTGTGACTCAGTGTCGTAACAGAGCACCCAACCTGGAGGCGACCTGCGAAAGGGCACCTGTGAAAACCTCTACCGGTGTGAATATGGCATGCAATAAAAAACTGCAAACGATGCAGCGAGCGACACCGCACGTGAATTCACTGACAGCGTTCCAGCGGGTGTCCTTGGAGATGTCAAGGTGCGCTAACTGAACAGCAGTTCCTGTCAAACCTCTCCACAGGAGGTGACACTCTGCTGATGGAGAGAATCTGGCCTCTCCAGAGGACCTGCTCGGTGAGGCAGCAACAGCTCCTTTAAGAAGAGGAGGGGGGGGGGGGGGGAGAGAGAGAGAGAGAGAGAGAGAGAGAGAGAAACAAAGCACTGCACCACAGAAACCTCAGAGTCATTTTGTAATCCTTCGGGAGGCAATCTCTCCTCGCACTCCTCCCTGCTATTGCTTACTCTCTGACTCCGCACTGTGGACAGCGAGAGAGCGAAGGCTCTATCTATCTCAGCTTTCATGTGGGCCAAGTGTCGCTATGCAGCAACTGAACTCTGGTAGGTAAGTGACCTGACGACTGACCAGAAACACAAGCAGAAGGCACCTCGGCTTCCCGTGCTGTTTGTCAATAGACACACCGAGAGGGAACACAGGGGCTTTCCCCTCCCCCCCTTCCTCCTCCCCTCACATGAGTCGAGCACCAACATAAAAGAGGTTACCTGGATCTTACAAAACATTTACACTGCCTCTTATGCAAAAGGATTTTGGTGGTACAGTATTTCCTGGCAGGTATTAGAGTCAAGGATCTGAAAGCAAAACATTCAACATATTCAATTATCTATTTTTGCCCATTACGCCCATAAACTAATATACTTCCCTTCCTCCTCCCCTCACACGGTAGAGTCGAGCACCAACATCAAAGTGTCTGCCTTACTCCTACAAAACTGTTTTGATGTCTACATTTACACTGCCTCCTCTTATGCAAACCTCTAGGATTTTGGTGATACAGTACTTCCTGTCAGGTATTAGAGTCGAGGATCTGTAACCAAGTGAAAACACAAAACAAACAAATGTGTTACAAACAGTACTAAGCACAGTTCCCCGAGGGCAAACCCTGTGCTGTGATTGCAAATGTCATTAGATCTTGTTGCTTAGCACCTCTGCTCTTCTCTACTTCTGTGTAAGACCCACCCTCTACTATCGATGCTACACAGACATGCCCACATGCATAATGTACCAGCCTGCAGGCAAGAGCACAGAGTAAGAGTTACGGGACAGAAGGAAGAGGACAGAGAGAAAGTGAAGACGCTTAGTTTCGACATAGCTGCCAATCTAATCCAGATACAGTTGGTATCGACCTCTCAGCCTGCTGCCGTGTGCCGTCCAAGCATGTCTACAGAGTTGGAGCTTTCCTTCCGGCCGGACAACGAGCTGACGGAGATGATGCGCCTGCGGGTGCAGTCTCTGCAGCAGCGAGGACAGAAGAGACAGGACGGCGAACGCCTGCTGCGGCCCAACGAGGCCGTGTACCGGCTGGATTTCTCAAAGCAGTCCCTCCGATTCTCGCACTGGGCGGTGCGGCTGGCTCAGGCGGGACGCCTCACCATCACGGCCACCTCACAGCTCTGGACGCCTGACCTCACCCACCTGATGACACGCCAGCTGCTGGAGCCCGCCGGGGTTTTCTGGAGGGCGCCGGGTGATGCCAACGACGCGTCCGTTCAGTGCTACGAGGCTGACGCGCACGAGTTTGGCGAGAGGATCGCTGAGCTGGCTAAGGTAAGGAAGGTGATGTACTTCCTGTTTGCATTTGCAGAAGGCTGCAGCCCTGAGACTGTCGACAGCTCCATCAACTTCACAGTGGATAGCTGAGGCCTGGCTGTCACAACACTGGAGAAATACTTGCTACAAACTCTTTTTCTTTCTGTGCTTTGTGTGCATTTAGTTGAGGAAGTAAAGTTTATTTAAGGTTAAACCTGCATTTTCAATACGGATGGCTCCCTCTTAAGTGGCAATGTCACCTCACCTGACAACCTGTACGAACAAGACTACACTGATCCTTCTCTTTCTCCTTTTGTGACTCATTTACAAAGAAAATATAACTTTTGCTTCTGTTACTGAACCTCTCGATCACAACTGGTGCTTCTTTGTATCTTTGTATCGTACAATGTTGGGCATAAATACAGCTAAATACAAATAAATCCACTAAATCACAAAAGGTGTATCTGTATTTTCTTAACCAGTGTCTGAACACGGATCATGTCTTGAGCCAAAGTGTTATTCTCCCTCTACTCCTGTATGACAAACAGCCCGCCCTGACGGGTTTAGTAGAAATGAATCCCACATGAGGTAATGGATAGAGACAGTGTGTATTTGTGTGTGTGTGTGAGTATTCCCCGGCGGACGGGGGGAACAGGTTCCCGCTGCCTCATCCATCTCCGTCTTGCATGGTGACCCTGACAAACAAGAGAAGGAGGAGGCATTTGGATTTCATCTCTCAGCCTCCTCCTGCAGGCTCGCTGCTTCACACTGCAGCGGGGGGACGAAACAGTAACTGTGACTGCGAATGAGAAGACGCGTGTCAGATGAGGTGTGAAGAGAAAAGAAAATAACTGAGATGTCAGGAGGTATTACTCGTTTCTTTTCTATGGTACAAAGCATGTAACTAACTCGCCACCTGAACCAACCTTTAAAGGCTACACCTCCTATTTTTTTCTGATAGATAAAGAAATCGACCTCTCCTTCAGCCTTGAATGCATAAATAGTAATTATCCTCGAGTGTCCTCATTGGTATGTGTCCTTTTGCTCACTCTTGCCTGTCCCCCTTTGACCAATAGTTAAACAAACGGACTGGGTTTGGAGGAAATTGGTCATCTTATTATTACGTAATGATAAACAAACATGCCAATGCTAACATTTAAACATATACGGCGTTGAAGTAAGGACCTACGACTGCAGCTCTGGAGCTAAATGAGAGGCACTGGCTGTGTTTTGGAGGTAATTAACATGTACAAAAGCAATACAAATTAGCAATGTTTTGTACCAGCACTCTGGTCTCACTGGGGAACCGTGTCTGCTCCTGCGAGACCTGGATCATTACTTGTTTTGCTTTCATAGGAAGTAAATCTGGTGGCCAACAGGAGGCTGTGAACAGATGAACATCTAAAAGGCTGCTTTAAAAAAAAAAACAGACTTCCACTATTGTTATTATTGTTTAGATCTAACAAACTAGCACTCCAAGCTCTCGACTCTCTAAACTTAAATTGTGGTCCAATTTCAAACTATAAAACAGCAGCATACAGCAAATCAGTCCTCAGGGATCAGATCCAGCCTGCAGGACAATTACATAAAGCCCCCCCCCCCAACGTGTTTTTCACATCTTTCCCCATTAGGATTTAGATTTTCTTTTAACAAAGCTGCAAAATCAGAGCATTGCATCTCTTTAAACATCCTTGGGAAATAAGCTTATTTGTTTTCTGGTGGAGAGAATACTGATGCCACTCTCACATCTGTGTGTTAGCTTTAGGGCTTTGATCACCCCAAGGTGATCCCCTCAAAAACCCCAAAAGATATTCAGTTTGTTGCCACAGACGACTGAAGAAACCAGAAAATATTCACATTTATGCTGAAATTTGGACATTTTTTCTTAATAAATGACTCAAAATGATTAATCAATTATTGAAATAGATTGCGATTAATCTCGTAGTTGACAACTAATAAATGTTAATTGACTTATTGTTAGCTTAGCATAAGACTAGAAACAGGTGGAAACAGTTACAAAATCCACCAATAATCACCTCTAAAGCTCACTAATGAGCAGGCTATGTCTTGTTTGCTTAATCTGTATAAAAACTCAGGAACAATTAAATTTCTTAAGGGGAATTATGGGTTGGCTAAGCTAAGCTAACCTTAACTTTCACGGCAGATATTCTCTTTCTAAGCGAGTAAATATAATTCCCAAAATGTTAAGCTACTCCACTTTACAGAAGGCAGAGCCGACAGCACAGCGCTCCTGACATTTGATATCGAAATGTCTCTTTCTAAAACCAAAATAAAGGTTGACCCGGAGGACAGACGGTTTCAAGAGAGGTGGTCAGGTAGTTTTATTTAATGACGAGAGTCTCATGTGGCATTATTCTCTGCAAGAACACAAATAAACCCCCAAATTTCCCCCCCAAAAAGTTTAATATTTCTTTAAACTGAGCTATAATCACTGGATATGCAGTTGGGTGAAAACTGTGTGCGACTGTGTGTTGAAACAGAGCTAGAGAAACAGAGTAAACAGAGGGGAAGATACAGTGTAAGCACGCCCATAAGTACACACTCTGTCTGAGCAGACTGTCACAATCCAGCGTCTCGCTACAACAGGCCGGGGCATCTGGTTTCAAATCCCTTTAAACGCTAGGTAATCACGTTGTTTCCTCTGTCAAGATGGATGCCAAAGAACAGTTCAGAATAATCCTGACACCCGCAACTCCAGATCTCAGTACAGTGCAACTAATATTGTCTTCTGTTAATGTGACATGTTTGTATCGCGAGACACTAAACCGCTGGAACAGAAGCCAGAGGTTATTTAATGTAAATACAAGGAACTCTAATGAACCTTTCTGTATAGATAGATAATTAATAAAGAAAGAAATGATCAAATATCAAAGTCAAAATGTCTTCTTAGTCCAAAACTCCCAAAATATCCAGTTTAATATGATATAAAACAGAGAAAAGGAGGAAATCTCCATATTTGAGAAGCTGAAAACAGCATTTTCTGCCATTTGAGAAAAATAAATAGTTGGTGATTATTTTTCTGTCAATTGGCAAATCGATTTGTCAACTAATTGCTGCAGCTCTGCGAGGAACTCAACGAGGAAAGCTCCCAATGAAGACAGCACTGTTGTTCTTACAACAAACCAAACGGCACTGGTTGAGAACAGCGGTTCCAGTTACACTAACTAGTTTTAGCTTCATAGTTAGTAAAGCTAAGATCAATGCATTCATCCACCTATACTGGCCTCTCTCCTCTGAGCCAGCATTAAAATGTAGTAGCCCCTCCCCTGCTGGTTGGCCACATGAAATGATGATGAAGACACAAACAAAAACACTTCCCACAGAAGCCAGGACATCCATCTATCCTCAGTTGTTCCAGTCGGTCCTGGGAGACTCTACTTTAAACTCCACCAATCAGACTTCTACTGACTGATGGAGTCTGCTGAGACCAACGAGTCGATGTGGTGCTGTAATGAGTCCTCTGGTGTTTACTCCTTATCATAATGGTTCCTAATGGACACTGAAACACTAAATATGGTATAATTACATAATTGAGTACACAGAAAGTTCCTTTTTGCGCAGGAAACAATCTTTTTTCCCCCCCCCAATATCCGTCAATTAGAAACGCTCCTCTTTGTTAAAGTGTTGACTCTTTTCAAAAAAGTAGCTTTGATTTTAGCCTTTCTTCACGAAGTTCAACCAACAGTCGGTTGTAGGGTGGTGTTGAGTCATTGATCGTCTTTTTATGTATGAATTGTCCTTCGTAGCAGACGTTCAATCAACCAGCAGACGGCGTCAGCGAGAGACTAAATTGGACCGTATGAAGTCGTTTTCTTCCACCACAAGCAAACAACCACAAAACCACAAGAGCTAAAAGCATTGAACAAGTTTAAACTTTCTATTAGATACTGTTGATACATAATGTGAGCATGTCAACTATAAGCTGGCCTTCAGCCGTATTATTAACATGTTAATGTTTATTAGGATCCCAACTCTGTCCCAAAGTGTGTGCTCAGATAATGAGAAATAATCAGGGATCCTACAGTTATTCCTTTTGCTAGAAACTTCACACTGTTGGGCCGAATCGAACCTTATGGCAGGCCAACTTTGGTCCACGGGCCCTACTTTGGGCAACATTTGGCTTAATACTCAATATTGTTCCACTCATCTCGCTCTCGTGAAGAAAGAAAGCAGATTCCCAAAACAAATTCTTTACCAGTTCAAGTTTGTGTTGTGAAAAAAAGGGCAAAGACCAAATAATAAAACAAACAAACAAACAAACAAACAAACACACATATAGAAATACACAGACTTACTTTTTGCCATAAAGACTCTCTGGAGGCCAAGCTGGAGCACGCCGCTACGAACCAGCAGTTACCCAGCTGTCCCTGATGGAGGTCGTGTGCACTGATGCCATCTACAAACAGGTGAGGGTCTTCACACAGCTCCTACGCTCCCAAAGACAGACAGAGAATACGTGAGTGAAGACATTCGCTGCTGTGTGTGTGTTAGATTCAAGGCTTTTTAATTATCAGCTAAAATATCATATTTTAAATCATTTTAGTGAAATAACTATGTAATATTCTTTGCAGGGTGAAAAGAAAAACAGCCTCTGAAACAGGCTTTATGGTTCATAAACTGTGTGTACGTTCCACGGTACAAGACACAGAGGAGAATAAATGAGTTATCGAGGCAAATTCATGAATCAGAAAGAGACCATCTGTCCTTATGCACCCACGTATCATATTCATGACCTTCTACCCGAGTGTGGGAGGGCAGCGTGCATCTACGAAATCACATTTCCTGTGGCTGCTGTGTTGAGGTCCATTTTCTGCCACAATGTGTACACACAGACCTCTATTACAGCTAACAACATGGTGCTCAATGAGCTGCTCTCGCCTCCTCTCTCTCTCTCTCTCTCTCTCTCTCGTATACCGGACTCACACGCCATCAGACATCCTGTGGTTCCTGTGATAATGTGTGGGATGAATACTACAGGCTGTGGGTCGACATTAGCCACTTACAGAGAGACACACTGTCCTCTACGCTCCTGTCTACACACAATGGCTACACTTCAGCATAAATATGTTACAAACAATGGAGGGGTAATGCCAGAAAATGAGCTAAATATACATAAATATACATAAATAGTGCTGAAAATGACTATAAAATCAGTATATACAATTGTATGGGAAAGTCACAGCTTGCAGACAGTTTTTGTAGCAGCTAAAAGTTGGTTCTCGTATTTGGGATTTTCCCCCCCATCCCTTCTCTTTTTAAGATCCACCCACAGATTTTCAATGATATTTAAGTCAGGGGACTATGAGGGCTGTCCCAAAACCTTGTGTCTTTTGAGCTAGTGTTATAGAAGCCATCCTCTTTTCTGCTGCTCTGGTATTCAATGGAATCAATTCTTCCCTCCTCCCGTGCAATGTTTCCTGCGCCACGGGCTGCAACACAACCCCAAAACATGATAGATCCTCCATCCATGCTTAACAACAGTTAGCAATGTTGTTAAGGAACAGATGTCTTAAATTACTGACAGTACTTAACCGGTTTATAAAAGTATAAAAGTTTATATCCCCAAAAAATAGCTGCAGTATCATTTTAGTTTATATTTCCTACACGGAAATAGTTTTCAGATCATTTTTATTTTTCATTTAACCAGGAAAGGTCCCATTGAGATTTTTTTCAAGGGAGACAGAACAAGTAAATTCAAACAGAAACAAACAACAACACAAACAGTATTACAGCCATGCATCTAATAATATCAGTTCAAGCATCGACACCCAAACGACTCCGACTCAGGACTTTCAAAATAAATTTAAAAGCATTCAAAGAAAGCAGATTTTTAAAAGGAGTTTTAAATCTTTCTGTAATATATTCCAGGCTGAGGATGACGAGTACACAAACATTTGTACATACTGTAACATCTGAGGTCAATGTCAAAAACATCAAATCAAACAAACTGCAGCATTTTAGTGACTGGCCAATATTTAGAATTTTAATATAAAGAGGTTAACAGCAGTCCAATATAACGTACAGAACAACTTGGTTTTTACTACAGTCTACAAGAGCTGTGCTGGCAGTGTCCTGGGTGTGAACAGTCTGTTTTGTGCTCCCTGCTTTATGGGACCGGTGGGTCGATGGGCACCTCGGCCATTACTCAACAGACAGCGGAAAGCACAGCATCACTTAACAGCTCTTTATCTTTACACACTTGCAGCACTCAACTGGGGTTACAAAAGTAAAAGAGGAAGAGATGGTGCGAGACGGTGTGAGCGTTTACTCCTGTAACATACAAGCGGCCTGGGGCGACGTGAACAAAACTACGTCAGGGTCAGTTTGATGACAACAATTTTACACTTTTACACACACATGAGATTTAATACACTTTTGTTTACACTTAGCCACATATATCCGGTCTCCGTTTGACAGATCCGATTGCAATCGGTCCTGGTTTTCCAGGGCTACATGCCAATCAGGGTGCGTCCTACTCCAGTCCAGAGGGTGGTGGTAATGCACCTTAAAGCTGTTTGGTAACTGGAAGCATATTAATTATTATTAATTAATAATAATAACAGCATTAAACTGTTTAATGAGCTAATCAATCAATGAGAAGTTGGGTCATTTCTCCATAAGACTGAATGGTATCTGTGTGTTATTGCAACCAATGGAGCTGCCCCCTTCTGGTCGTTAGATAGAATGCAGCTTTAAGACACTTCTGTGTTGACTTCACTTCTTATTATTCATTGATCTGATTGGTTAAAGGTGTTACAGGTTCAAGATTTTACCACAGGAGAATGTGAAGCTACTGAGTACAGTCACAGTGGCTCAATGCTTAGAAACCCACTGAACCTATCTGCCAGCTGCAGCCTGCCTGTGTGAAGGCTGCGTATTGTTTCTCCTCTGAGAGCTCTGGTTTCCTCCCACTGTCCAAAGACATGCAGGCGAGGTGATGAGACTTAAAGACATTCCCCATAGGTGTGAAAGTGAGTGTAAATGTGTCTGTCGGTATGTGTTAGCCCTGTGATAGCCTGGCAACCCGTCCATTGTGAGCTGGAATAGACTCAAGTCCTGCTTCAACCATAAACATCAGTAACGGTATCATCCACCAAAGGTCATGAATATGTGTATAATGCAGACCACAGCATATACACACTACGGTGTATGTTCAAGTGTGGGGAAACAAGAGCACACACACACATATACAGGAGACAACCAAGGTCAGTAATTTGCTGACTCTGCAAAGCTGATTGCTGCAAAAGCAACCTTTTAAATCAGAAGCAGAGGCCACTGCAGTGCTCCCTGGAGTCTCTACCAGCTCTCACCTTACAAAGACCAGCACTAAAGCACTTCCTGTCTGAAATGTCTGTATTTACGTGCAACAACTATGTGAAGTGATGTTTGGATATTGTTTCACGGACCCCTGTCTGAGCGGTTCCAGGAGTTAAGATCTCTGATCACGTTTTTTTTTTTTCCCTTGTCCGCAACAGCATTGATTAGTGGAGTCTGAGCAGCGACGAGGGCTCCCTGTGGTGGCCAGCCGTCCAGGGATTGGCTCAGGTAGAAGAGTAATAGAGTATCGATCCCTGCCCAGCCCTGCAGACATTGAAGTAATGTGAATATTGTGGCTGAGCACAGCCTGATCATTTACCCTGCTACTGAGAACCTTTCAACCAGCTTCATAGCCCTCCTCAGCATCATCCATCAGCCTGTGAGAGGAACCATCAGCCACACAACCAGAGTGCAGAAACACCTGCAGAGAGTGGAATCTAGCAGTACGAATTCAAAGGTCCTTGTAAAAGTACGTGCTGCCTCCATGTTAACAGACGGGACAAACTAAAGAAGTCAAAGTTGTTTTAGATAGTTCTTATCATGCTGATGTATGTTCAAGTGTTAAACTTTCTCTTAACCCTGTAAGACCCAAATATAGAAAAACCTTTAAAAAAAATTATTTTACCTTTCAGATGTTGTTGTAGTAGGCCTTTGATGCAGAAATTAAAGAGTTTTTAAAAAAATAATGTTTATGTAAGTTTATAGAGAAATGTTGTAATATTGCAACATTGGGCTTCGGTGGGAGCAGAATTTTTTTATTTTTATTTTTTTTTTTTAAAAAAAAAAAAAAAAAAAAAAAGGGTTAATTTGCAGGGTTGATTGCTTACTTAGCCCCATAAAGGTATATAACATTAATAATAATCACACATTAGTCATTTATTAAAAAAACTGTTAAACAGGACAAAACTCTAGCTTTTTCTAGCAACTTCTTCATTCCTTTTTTTTTTCATGACTGACTTTCATTTTTTTTTGCGTGTCCAATGTAAGGTGTGCACATCTCTTGGATGGTCTCTTCTGAGCATTCAGAGGGCTTTCTGATGTCACTGTCTGTGATGCTGGGCTCCTTTTGCCTGAAGATGGTCACCTCTCTTTGGAGTTCGAAGTGTTGTGTTTACCAGGATGGGGAGAGGAGCAGCTGTGCCTGAAACTGTCTCCTGTTCATTGTCTCTTTTGCTAGACATCTTGAGAGCTTTGCAGCCCCGCTTGTAGAGGAGCCAGGCAATCACCACAGGGGGGGAGAGGGGGGACCAAAAAAATTAAAAATAACAGCGAAGGGAATGGGGAAGAAAAAATTAATTTTAAAAAAAAAAAAAAAAAAAAAAACCCCCCCCCTATTTTTTGGGGGAAACAAAAAAAAAAAAACCCCCCCAAAATTAAAGGTTGGGTTGGGGGGTTTTGGGGTGTAAATTCTGCTCAAGATAAATAAAAAAAAAAAAGAAGGGGCGGACGCCCTATCATTAAAAAAAAAAAAAAAAAAAATTTCCTCACCCCCCCCCCCCCCAACCCCAACCCCCCCTTCCCCCCTTTTCCTCCCCCCCCTCCCCTCCTTAATGGTTAAGCCCGCCTGGCCCACCCCCCCCACCAAAAAAAAAAAAAAAAAAAAAAAAAAAAAAAATAAAAAAAAAAAAAAAAAAAGTAGTTGTCTGCATACATTTAGTAGTTCTGACCTTCTGGATGTGTGGAAGCAAGCTTCATCACAACATCACCCAAAAAAAAAATTAAAATTTGGGCCCCTTACCCCTTTAAAATCCTTTTGGAAAGCACAAAAAAAAAAAAAAAAAATTCCAGTTCTTCCCCACCCACACTTTGAATCCCCATGGGTTTGGCTTGCCTTGCATATATTGCTTGATGCTGCTGAATTTCCCCTTAAAAGGAAACTTTCATACTCCCTTGAAAGTTTTTTATTCTCTCTTTTTTTCATGCTAAAAGAAATATGCATCCCAATCACCAGCCATTTAGTCAAACAATACTGCCTTTGACATAACAATACTGCGTTTTGTGCTCTCTAATTATCATACTAAAAGGAAAACATGCATACCCCCACTTATATCAACCCCCCACAAAAAAAAAATTTTTATTTTTACCCAAAAATTATTTTGTCTGTTGATAT